CAAAAGAAAGTTTTAGATATAAACTCATTTAATTGTCCCTTGAAGTTTAAAGTGGAGGTTGTCTTGAATTTACTATAATAGATGATAATCAAAAAGAAAATTCCACATCCCAAATGCCTCTATACCATATGATCTCAAATTTAATATGATTGGATTAGCTTAAGTTTTCCATTTAACAACAAGGCTTTGTGTAAATAAAGTCTAAGTTTATTGTGGCAAAGGGTCCAATGCTCTTGAATGAGAAAAAAACTTTTTAGAATGAGATATGGTAATAACTTGACATGGAATTTAAGGCCACTTTGAAGAATGAGACTTATGCCGAATGGAAGGAGGGTCTTTTTAATTGAATGCTACTTGTATGGGAGGGAAATCACTAGCTCGAGGTATAGTTGCTATGGATATTTGAACTATCTAAATCCGAGATTGCAAGATATTATGTCATGGCAAATGTTGTGGTGAAAGAGTTCTAGGACAAAAATCATATAACACTTATTATGGCTTTGACTTCAATAAATAAATATGCCTATTTCTTCTTTAGATTCTTTATTGATATAACTTTCTTAATATAAGCAACATGAAGATGCAATAGTCAAAATAACTCTTCTATACACGATCATGGTTGTGCGGAATATTTTTCAAGCAGATGCTAGCAAGATTATATATGAGCTCATAGACAAGGAAAAAGTCCAACTCAACATAACAGTTGCCAAAGTAAATCAATTTAAGAAGCATGATATTTATGCCAATTTCCCCCGATAATCTACACATGTATTCCATTCAAGGTATTTAATTTTGCTAAAGTACTCATTTTGAGTTTTTTTTTTGCTTCTCTAGTATGACATCAATAAGGATTTCAAGAAATTGAAAAAGAAGAGCTTAGATGTTGATGCTATTACTAAAGAAGAATATAAAATCAAGCAAAAACATATAGTAAAAATGATGAAGCTGATTAATATCTCACATTTGGATCTTAGAGAGGAATGTTTTGATGCTATGACAAGCTTTAATATAGAGGATCCATAGTATAAATAGTGTATATTTGAGAAGATAAACATAGTAGCTTCAGCACAAATTCTAAATTTATATAAGCTAGTAGCGTTCAAGGAATTTAGAGCATCTAGTGGATCATCTATAGTTATCCATTCTTCAGTCCCAACTATTAATAAGCCATTCCGAGTTTAATGGAAAAAAAAAGTGATGAACATCAAGGTGGTGGAAAAAGAAATTATGTATGTTGAGGAGGTGGGTGAATAACACTTCTCTAGAGCAATTCAATCAAAGTACAAATTAGTATAAGAGTGTTATAACAAATGTGAGCTTGAGTTTGGCATTCTATAAATTTAGCTATAGCTTCAGTTAGTGTTTAGTAAAGCTAAGATTGAAGAGGACAATGATGAAGATTAAGGGGATGAGATAAATGATGTAGTAATGCAAAAAGTTGGCTAAAGTCTTGTATCCAATTAACACTTTCATCACTTTGTACTTTTCAAGTTTTAATTTTCAAGTACTTCAAATCTGTATAAAAGGCAATTCCAACTATTAGTTGTCCCTTACTTTGCTTACCTATATGTATGGAAACAAAAAATTACCTAAACATACTGAGGTCATAAACTAGAAGTGGGAAAATTATTTTTTGTGGTTAGATCTTTACTGAAGAGGGAGAAAAATATATGGAACTTGTATATACAAGATAGGAAAAGTAACTTACAACCATCAAGGATTTTTTGATAGAATTTGATGGTATTGATAAATCCATTGAAGTGAAGACACAACTAAAAAAGAAGAGGAGAAAGCATGTTACTCAAAATGCACTAAAAGTGTTTATTACATCTAGTAAGCCCACAAAATTTCTTTATTTATTTTGTATTTAACTATGTTATTTAGCTAATTCTGAAGTGGAAGAAATCCAAATTTCAAAAAAGGAAGAAAGCTTTCTTGCAAGCTTGGGTGAAAGCCATATATTAATGATCCAAATGAGATACCAAAAGCACTTGGCCATTTTGTTATCTAACATAGAGCTATGGAAGACTTGGCCAAAATTATTTTTCAACAAAGCTATAAAACATATAAAAAAATACACTAACGAGGATTTTGGTGATGATTTTAAGATTGGTGAAGATTAGAAAACTCTAAATACTAAGGATTTCAAGTAATATAAGTTATTTCTCAAGGAACTAAAGAAGTTTATGTATCACCATTCTTAGAGTTCCTCTATTAGTGAATCTTCATATTGAGCAAATAAATTATAGTTTTACTCTTTTTGGTGCTCACTTATTGATAAGAGTGATCCAACCTAGTTTTATTCCAGTGTTAGTCTTGTAAATGAATTTTGTGGGACTTTCAGTTAGTGTTTAACTTTTGGAATGATATCGCAAATAGTTGAGATGGCATAGATGCTTTCTCGAGCTTATTATAAACTCATAAATTTGGACTTTCTAGGATGTCATCCAACCTAATACTACTTAAACCCAAAGATGTTTAAACCCAAATATCCTAAAACCTTTAATCAATTGGAAAAGAATATGCACTCTTATGTAAGCAACCAAAGGGAATAATTCGAGAGACGATCCATAAGGGTTCAAATATAGAGGGAAAGGGCCCATAAATAAAAGTACACCTTTTTTCCAATTGGTTAAGGGTCTTGGGATATTTAAGGTTAAATATCCTTAGGTTTGAATAGTATTGGGTTTGATGACTTCTTGGGAAGTCCAAATTCAAGAGTTTACATCTTGTTTATGGGCTCTTTCCTTTTCCTTTAGTTGTTTATAATCCATTACACTTCTTTGCAAATTCGTGCCTTTGTAAATGGAATACACCCTACTTTTTCAAGTCGAGCCTAGTTAAAGGCAAATTAAACCTCTTAAATGTCAATCTCAATATGTGGTGTGATTTCTTTAGCCAATCAATAGAGTTGGACCTAAAACCTCTTTAATACCACATTGCCATAGTGACATTAAATACAAAGCTTGGCTAAGTTATTTCTTTTTAAACAAGAAAACACCTCCAATATTTTTTAGAGGTGCAAAAGTTAGAAATTTTGGCAGATATATTTATGTGATACCTTTATGATGAGGGTGGTAGTATTTTTTACTTCTTTAGTGGTACAGAGGTTTTCTTGGTTATTACTTGACATAATGGTTGCAATACCTTTGGATTAAGCATGTTATTATAAAGAAAGCTCTTGAGGATATGCCACCATATATAAAGATTGTACTTAAGTTTATGGGGAGGCATTCAAACCATTATAACATATGCATTAAGAAGAAGTCAATTTTCATGTTAAAGCTCATTAATGATTATGCATAGGAGAAGAAGAGAGAAAAATAGAAAATGTGAGAGAGAAGAAGAAAGCAATCTAGTTCTTTTATATATATATATATATATATATATATATATATATATATATATATATATATATATATATATATATATATATATATATATATATATATATATATATATATAGTGTGTGTGTGTGTGTGTGTGTGGATTTGAGATATAATTTGTTATAGTTATAATAATATCTGATAGTTACAGCATAAAGTATATTTATAATTACTAAATGATTTAATATATAGTTATAATGATGAAATGTTTTCGAATATTAATTTATTACACAAGAATAATCTTAGTATATTAAAATCAGAAATATTAAAATATTATGTCTCAACTCCTTGTTGACTTGGCTCCCTTTTTGCCAACCCCAATTAAACTTTTTATTCCTGGTGCCTACAGTTGGTCCTTGAGAGAGACAAAACATTCATGAGGGAAAGAAGCTTCTCTAACACAAGATTTAGAGCAAGAAGTTTGGAAGAGAAAATGGAACTTACCATAGCTGGCTTATGCCCTACTACTAGTATTTTATTTTAGCTAAAATAACTTATTTACCATCTTTTTATCTTCTATTTTGGAGCGAAGTTTTGATAGGGAAACATGTCTAGATTCCTTATATACACTAAAATCTTCATTGTGGCAGCATTAATGCGGTGTCCAAGGTGATGTTGTGAGGACTCGGAATGCAATGATAGCAGTGGGATCTACTGCCATTTGAAGAGAGCATTAGACACTGAAAATGATCATGACATACCGGAAAAGGGGTGAAAAGAAGGTGATGAAACATCAGGTAAACACTGCCTTTTTGCAACTGCCTGCTGTTGGATGGTAACCACCGAGTCCTCCTCCTGCGCAGCAGCCGACCATGGTGGATCCATCTTGGGCACCTTTTCGTTGAAGCATTAATTGCATTGTCAACACCGACTTTGTCAGGGCTGGTTTCCCCATTGTTGTCTGACACAGATGCGACAATCCCGAAGTCGAAAAGGTAGAACCTCTCCAAACCAACGCCTTGCTCGCAGTAAGCAACGTTCCTGGGGCTGACATTATGCACCGCACCAGCAGCCTGGCTCCCATCACAGCGGCCGTAGAGTGATTCGCCAACGTAACTCATGAGCACGATCAGGTAGTTTCTCCAGTTAAACGGCTGTAAAACCCAGCCCGACCACAGGTCTTGGATCCACTGGCAGCCAGAGCCTCCCAAATTCTCAACCTGACTGAAGAGCTCAATCGGAAGATCAACTGTTCCGGATGCTTGGCCGACTCCTTGCTTCAGTGCTTGCCGTCATCCAGTAGAACCAGATAGCAGCCCAAGGTGAAACCGCTCAGAGGAGCACCTGCACAATTGCCATGAGATCACCAAAATCCCAAAGACTTGTCATTAGTTTAAAAGCGATCTTAGCTAAAATACATTATTCTCAGAATATCTTTTATATTACAATAAATTATCATAGCCGCCATAGAAAAACAAAAAAGCGTCTTGTCCACGAAAACCGAACTTTGTGCAATAGGCCAGAGCCTCCACGTACTTAAAGGTCCACCAATCTCTTTTTTCTACCCGGGCAACATCATGGATGCTTCGACGAACACACCCTCCGGGGCCTTCGATCCATCACTTCGACGTACTTAAAGCTCCACCAATCTCTTTTTTCTACCCGGGCAACATCATGGATGTGCTGCTGCTCTTGGCGACTTGGATTTGCTCGTCACTGGCCGCCCTGCTGCTCCTCTTCCAGATCTTCCACTCCACCAGCGCGAGGAGCAAGAAGAACTTCCCACCAGGTCCTTTCTCATGGCCCCTCGTTGGCTCTCTCTTCTCGCTCGGCCCCCATCGGCATCGCTCCCTGGCCGAGATGGCTCGAAAGTATGGCCCTGTTATGTTACTCCGGCTGGGAGTCCGGCCTCACATCATCATCAGCAGCCCGGAGATGGCGAGGCAAGTCCTCAAGGAGCACGACGTCGAGTTTGCGAGCAGGCCCCTGTTCTTCACCATCGGTCGACTCATTAGCCACAACTTCCAGGACCTTATCTTCGCACCGCACGGCGAGCGATGAAAGATGCTGCGGCGAGTGTGCGGCACAGAGCTCTTCACGGCCTCCAAGGTGAGCCACTTTGCCAGCACTCGCAAGAGGGAGCTGGGAGCGTTTGGAGCGACCGTCGAGGCGTCTGCAAAAGACGGGCACGAGTTTAATCTCAGCTCCATGCTGCAGGAGTACTTCACCAACCTCATGACGTGCGTGTTGTTCGGGAGGAAGTTCTACGGCACTGACACGCCGCTCACTCCCGAGGCCGAAGCCTACAAGGCGTCGTGGGCGATCCAAGCGAAAGAATCCAGGAGGCTGTTTGCCGCTGATTACATCCCTGCGATGCGATGGCTGGACACGCTCAGAGGGACGCAAAACCGACTCAAGAATGAAGTCCTACCAGCAAGATCTCGCTTTCTGGAAGCAGTCATCGAGGAGCACACGAAAGACTTCGATCCGGAAAATCCCCGGGATTTCGTCGACGTGATGCTGACTCTGGGAGGAGAAAACAAGCTTAGCAACGACCAGATCATCGCACTGCTCCAGGTAAGCAAAAGAAGAAAGAAAAGTCTTGCGTTCTTCGTTGTTTCTCACGTAAGCGTGGGACGCAGGATCTGCTGATGGCCGGCACTGGACCGTCCAAGGGGACGATCGAATGGGCCATCTCGGAGCTGATAGTAAACCCCAGAGTCCAGGAGAGAGCTCACGAGGAGCTGGACAGAGTCGTGGGGAGAGATCGTCCCTTGGAGGAGTCGCATCTAAAAGACCTGCCTTACATCCAAGCCATCGTCAAGGAAGTCTTCCGGAAGCGTCCAATCGCGCCGCTGGGCGTCCCCCACTACAACGATCGCGAGGTAACTCTCGCCGGCTACACGATCCCCGCCCACACCACGGTCCTCGTGAACATCTGGGCAATCCATCACGACCCAAGCATCTGGAGCGACCCCGAGCTCTTTCTCCCCGAGCGATTCCTGGGCAGCGACCACAGCGTGCTGGGAAACGACTTCGACCTCCTGCCCTTCTCGTCCGGGCGGCGCCGCTGCGTCGGGATCCCGCTGGCCATGCCCCATGTCACGCTCACCCTCGCCTACCTCTTGCATCGCTGGAGCTGGCGATCGCCGCCTGGGAAGCCGATCGAGATGGCGGAGCTCGCGGGTAGGGGCCCGGTCGCGTCACCCCGCATTGTCTGTGCCTCCCATCGCTAGAACCCTAAATTCAATTTAGGGCTTAGACTTGAAGTTTATCTTAAAGGATAAGTGACACACTTATTTGGGGCGTATAATTAGCGCATTGTGGCCATTTTTGATGGATGCCATGGGGAGCTATTTGCGGTTTACGTGCCGCTACAACTAGACAATGCCGTCCAGTTTGAAAAGCCCTCTTTCGCATTTCTCACAATCTCGCGCGTCTCATGGCGTGAAGCGTCAATGGGAAGGCGAAAACTTCCCATTGAATTCATCCGGAATGACAAGTCGAGGAGGGAAACGTTCAAGAAGCGGCTGAAGGGACTCCGCGGCAAGGCCGAGCAGCTCGCGACGCTGTGCAATGCCGAGGTGGGTGTGATCGTCATCTGCGATGGTAAAGTTCACGAGGCCGGGTTCACGGGCAACAGCGGCAACTTGGGTGGCAATGCGATCGATTTCAAGGACATCATCACCAAGTACGCCATGCACTCGTACCAGACTTACCAGCTCATGGCGATCCAGCGGATGCTCCACCCCGAGATGAACAGCGGCGTCGTGGCTCAGGCCCAGGGTGGCGGAGGGCTCCTGGACCTCAATTTGCCCGGTGGGGGCATCTTGTATGGACAAGGAATGGTGGGCTGTGGTAATGGCGGTATGGAAGGAGGATTGCCCGTTTACAACAATGGTAACTGCAATATGACTACCAACAACAACAACAGCCAGATCTACACCAGCACTGTGAATCCTCCGCTTCTTGCAGCTGGGCAGAAGGATTTGATAGGCCCCGGAGACGAGGACTCCATATCCAACTCAAGCAAGTCTTCCATCGCCACCACCGCCGCCACCAAGTTCGTCGAGCCATCCAAGTACGAAGGTGGCGGTGGCAGCGCTCCTCCTCCTCACCACCACCACCACCATCAGCAGCTTCACCAAATTGACCAGCTCGCTTCTCACTACACGGACTTTAACATGGGCTGTGGATTCCCGGGAGGACCCCATGGTGGCAACGCCGGAAACCCCAGCTTTGACAATGGCTATGGTGGTGTTTCGATGATGAGTGCCAGCGCCGCTAACGCCGCCGCCGCTAACAACGGTGGCTATGGAGGAGATCTAAGCTCTCGGGGTGGCGGGGGAGTTCCAGGGGCCTCCGCGCCCATGAGCAATTTGATGTTTGACGGGCCATTCCAGTTCAACACACTGGACGACATGGACTTTGACAAGCATTGGACCACCGATGACCCGGTCAGCGCCGCCGCCGCGGCCGCCATCGCCGCCACCACCACTGCCGCGTCGTCTTCCACCACCACCACCGTCACGGCCGAGTAAAAAGTGTTGTGCTCTCTCACTTTACCATTTTTACCTGCCCACCTTTCTAGAATGCCATTTTTACGCACTTTTTTCTAACACAACGTTGACTAGAGAGAGAGAAAAATGCGTGGTCTTTTTAAACAAGTATTTTCTTGTTGTACTGCAAGCGCTTGTACTACATGGAATCGTGACGCGGGGTCACGCACAGGGAAGAAGATCCCCACATCGGATTTTAGGTCACGCTAGTTGTTCCAGTCTTTCTTCCTCGGCGCCCTCGCCACGCTCTAGCAATGGCCGCCCTGCAGCAAATTTCGCTCCACAGGGCCTCCTCGCTCAATCCCTCGCTCGCGGCCGCCGGGGTTTCGGATTTCGAGGATTTCTAGATCGATCTCTCCTATCCGGGATCTGTAGGGGCAGGATTTCGCAAATTGGGGTATGGCGCCGCATAGAGGAGGGGCGATCAGGAAGGAGCTGGAGCTGGAGGATCTTGAGGCGCAGGCTCGGCTTGTGTTGGATGAGGCGGCGCTGGAGAAAGAGCCGCTGCTGACGAGTTCTTCTTTCTTGGAGGACGGGAATGAGAATGGGAAGAGCGGCGCGCCGGCGCTGTGTCGATTGGAGGTCGCGATTGGAGGGATGACTTGCACGGCTTGCTCGACGTCTGTGGAGAAGGCGGTGCTGAGGATCGACGGCGTTTCTTCCGCGACGGTGGCGCTCTTGCAGAACAAGGCGGATGTGAAATTCGATCCCAGGACGTGCAAGGTATGTGAGTCCTCACTCGTAGTAATTTTGGTACTTGACTTGCATAGGATAGATCTTCTTGCAGGTACTTTGTTTTTTTTTTTACAGGATAGACCTTTGCTTGATTTGTGAGAAAAGAGCAAGAGCAGAAATCTAGAGAAACGATTGTGGAAGAGTTTAGTAGTGCTTTGGTTCCGGCGAAAGTTCTCCTCACGCCTGTTTGTGCTTTGCAGGAGGATGCAATCAAAGAGGCCATCGAGGACGCTGGCTTTGATGCCGAAATTCTGTCAAGAACTTTCATGATCGACCTGGTTGGTAATGGCAACGCTGCTCCGCCAAGCAAACTGACAACCACTGAAAAGTTCAAGGTTGGTGGCATGACATGCACAGCATGCGTCAACTCCGTGGAAGGCGTTTTGGCGAAGCTTCCAGGTGTAAAGCGCGTTGCTGTGGCGCTGGCGACCGAGATGGGAGAGGTGGAGTTTGATCCCAAGGCTGTGCAGAGAAGGCAAATCATTGAGACGATCGAAGATGCAGGGTTCGAGGCAGAGCTCATTGAGAGTGAGGAACGGGACAAGGTGATTCTCACCATAGGTGGGATGTTTGAGGACGATGGAACGCAGGTTGGGGAGCTTCTTTCCAAGCTCAAAGGCGTCAGGGATTTCACGCTGGACGTGTTGCTGGAAAGGGCTGTAGTTATGTATGACCCGGAAGTGCTGAAGCTCAGAGACATCGTTCACGGTATCGAGAATGCCGGGGCTGGGAGGTATAAAGTCGTGCTCCCGAATCCTTATACGTCTTATTCTCCGGATAAAAGCAAAGAAGTATCTTCGGCGTTACGGCTTTTTATCGCGAGCTTGGCCTTCAGTGTGAGTTGTACTTGTTGTTTTCACTCGTCAAACTCATGTTTCTTTTTTTTCCTTTCAGATTCCAGTTTTCTTCATCACGGTGGTTTGTCCACACGTTCCGTTTGCTTATCGGCTGTTGCTCATTCACTGTGGACCTTTTCTCATGGGTGACTGGATGAAGTGGCTCCTTGTAACTCCGGTGCAGTTTATCATTGGCAAGAAGTTCTATCTCGGGGCGTATCATTCGCTTCGTAGTGGCTCGGCCAATATGGACGTTCTAGTTACGCTTGGAACGACGTCTGCGTACGTCTATTCCGTAGGTGCTATCTTTTACGGTGCTTTTACGGGCTTTCATGGAAGGACGTACTTCGAGACGACGACTATGCTCTTTACCTTCGTATTGCTTGGAAAGTATTTGGAAGTTCTCGCCAAAGGGAAGACATCCGAGGCGATTGGAAAGCTGCTTGAGCTCGCACCGACTACTGCTATGTTGGTCACTGCTGACTCAGGTAACTCAGGTTCGTTCAATAGCCATGCATTCTAAACCTTGAGCATATCACTGTAGAGAAGGAAACGGAGATTGATGCCCAGCTGATACAGAAAGGAGACAGGCTCAAGGTTGTGCCCGGTTCTAAGATTCCAGCTGACGGCTTCGTTGTGGAGGGCTCAAGTCACGTCAACGAAGGCATGATCACAGGAGAGGCTGCACTGGTTGACAAATCCGTTGGCGACAATGTCATTGGAGGTACCATCAACGTGAACGGGCTTCTTTACATCGAAGCAGTGAAGGTCGGAAGAGACGCTGCGCTGGCTAAAATTGTCAACCTTGTGGAGAATGCACAAATGTGCAAAGCTCCGATTCAAAAATTCGCAGACTACGTAAGTCGTGTTTCCCTCTCTTTGTAGTGAGTGCTGACGGGTTTTTCATCTGTAAAGGTGTCAAGCATATTTGTTCCTGTTGTGGTTGTGCTAGCATTATCTACTTGGATTTGCTGGTAAGTCTTTTTGTTTTCCCTCGGTAACTAGCGCCTCTACAAGCTCATGCAAAATTTCTGTGTTTTGCTAGGTACCTGGCGGGAGTGCTTGAATTATATCCAGATTCTTGGATGCCGGATGGTACAAATCATTTTGTTTTTGCACTTATGTTCGGGATTGCTGTGCTGGTGATCGCGTGTCCCTGCGCTTTGGGACTCGCCACACCAACTGCTGTCATGGTAGCAACTGGTGTTGGAGCTTCCAACGGAATTTTGATCAAAGGCGGCGACGCACTAGAACGAGCACACCAGATCCAATGTGTCGTTTTTGATAAGACGGGCACCTTGACTAATGGTAGACCGTCTGTGACAACTGCAAAGGCCTTCAACGGAATGACCTTGTCAGAGATGTTGGCATTTGCTGCTGCTGCTGAGGTTTGTTCTCCTCATTATTTGTTTCTAAGGTCATGAAAGTCTTCATTGGTTTTGCTCAGGCTGGTAGCGAGCATCCGCTTGCGAGAGCAGTTCTCGACTATGCGTACCACCATTTGGTATTTGGAGGGGTTCCCTCGACGCCAAAATCTCCGTCGAGAACCCGGGACTTCAGCTGGGTAAAGAAATGCTCCGATTTCAAAGCTCTACCAGGCCAAGGCGTAAGCTGCATTGTCGAAGGACAAATTGTGCTGGTATGTCATCTTCACTTTCAGATCGTTTTGTAGCTCACAACAATCAAACAGGTGGGAAACACGAAGCTCGTAACCGAGCAAGGAATCCCCATCCCGCAGCAAGCGGCCAACTACCTGCGTGAAGTCGAAGAGCGTGCCAGGACGGGCGTGCTAGTCACCGTTGGCCACGATCTCCGTGGAATCCTCGCAGTGTCAGACCCGCTCAAACGAGAAGCCGCTATCGTCGTGGAAGGCCTCAACCAAATGGGAATAAGAACGCTCATGGTGACTGGAGATAACTGGACGACTGCCCGAGCAGTGTCCAAGGAGGTAAGCCTCTCGCCCCCCGTCCTCTCTCGCTATAGCTAACTCGGAGCTTTCCAAAACCAGGTCGGGATCAAGGAGTGCATGGGAGAAGTTCTCCCCGGCGGCAAGGCCGAGGTGGTAAAGTCGCTCCAGTCCGACGGTACCGTGGTAGCCATGGTGGGCGACGGCATCAACGATTCTCCCGCGCTGGCAGCAGCGGACGTGGGAATGGCGATTGGTGCCGGGACCGACATCGCCATCGAAGCCGCCGATTACGTGCTCATGAGGAGCAACCTCGAGGACGTGATCACGGCGATCGACTTGTCGCGCAAGACCTTCGCCAGGATCCGGCTAAACTACGTGTTTGCGATGGGATACAACGTGGTGGCCATCCCCGTTGCTGCTGGTGTGCTCTATCCTTTCTTCTCGATAAGCCTGCCGCCCTGGATGGCCGGTGCCGCCATGGCCATGTCCTCGGTTAGCGTTATCGGCTGCTCGTTGCTACTGAGGCTCTACAGGAGGCCCAGGTTGACGGAGATTCTCGACTTCCAACCACAACACAGAAGCAGGCAATAATGTGTAACTATATATTTTGTACATGAGATGTTTTGTGAGTTTCGACATTGATCGCGTTCTTGTCATCTCCAAGTGGTCGCTTACCGGTGCTCACTTGCCTCCTCATGCTTGACTATTTTCTTAGATCAGAGTCGATTTCGATAGGAGAAAGGTAAAGAAGATTTACTCTTCTCCGCGAATTTGTCTTTATGTTCGTGGCAAGGCATCAAGTTGATGCACTGTAGAATCATTTAGTAAAGATCTCATCCAATGAGCATGAAAAAGAAATCATGGAGTAAAAGCTTGCAACAGAGACAAAGATCGATCACCATCCAACACACAATGACAATGGCAATGACAGTTTGTCCATCTTCAAGCCTCGTTCCGATCCGGGGAAGAGATGATTCATCATTTGCTTCGTTCCTTCTATTGAGCACATATACAGATGAATCTCTAATCAAATCAGCACCGAATACAAGCGCATTCGATGATCCATGAGCTCATACATTCATTAAATCCTAGGTTTTGCACACAACAGCAAAAACTTGGAACTCAAGAAACCATTTTCCCTCAAGGCACAGTGTTGAATCTTCTGCCCCAAATTGTGGCTACATGGGATTGGGCCTGTCCTGCATTAAATCAAACACATCTCTGAATCATCTGCCTGCTGCTTGAGGGCAGCAGTTTGAGCAAAGATTCGGAAAACAAATAAAGGAATTGAACCACGTAGATAGTATCATGCAAAGAGATTCCACCACACTTCTGAAATTGATTCATATGTTCTAGACTTGTAATCAAGAGAGGAGAGCATCAGAATGACAGTTTGTCCCCCGTGGTATCTTCAAGCCTCGTTCCAATTCGAGGCATTGAGAACGGCGAGAGAAGAGATGCTTCATCATTTGCCCTCTTTCATGCTTTGTGAAGACTGAAGAAGGCACAGAATATTGTATGAACATACAGATTACAGCAGCCTCCATTTTATCCATCGCCTTATGTACAAAACAGCAGAAACTTGGAGCTCAAGAAACCGTTTCTTGAGATCCAAGTTTCTGCTATTGACCATCGGCAGATCTGACGACTGTTATAGGCTCATTTGGTGAGTTTTTAATGGAACCATTTCCAAATCGCCATCTACTTCATTATAAACTGGAGCACCCATTGAAATTGATAATGGAAATTTCTTCTCAATATTGAGATAGATTCTGTTCCAGAATCGCCGATGATCTCAAGATGCAGTGATTATTTGAGATTTTATAACAAGATGCGATGAAAACCAAAACTGTTTTTTATGTTTGAGCAATTTATCAACGAAAACCATGATATAGGCTGAAACGAGCTGCGGCGGCTACATTCGCATCTCTGTTGCGGGCAGCAAAGAATCTGCCCGTTGCACTGCGCGACGTGGAGCAAAAGGTAGAGCTGTTCATGCACAGGCTGTCTCTGCGAGTGTTGTACTTCAGAGCGCTCTGATCAACCTGTATGCGGAAGCTTGTTCGACAGAATTACGTGCAAGAACCAAGGCAGCTGAAGCTTGTTCGACAGAATTACGTTGAAGAACCAAGGCAGCTGAAACACCATATGCCCAACAAAGCCATGGCTCGCAGTTGATCGACCTGTACCCGAGAATGGACCTCGAAGCCAGCAAGCTGATGCTTATCGGCTTTTGCTCATCCACTGTGGGCCTTTTCTCTCTCATGGGTGACTGGATGAACTGGCTCCTTGTAACTCCGGTGCAATTTATCATTGGCAGAAAGTTCTATCTCGGGGCGTATCATTAGCTTCGTTGTGACTCGGCCAATATGGGTCACTGTTGGAACTACGTCTGCATAGTTTACTCCGTAACTGCTATCATGGTAGCGGTGTTGGAGGTTTCAACGGAATTTTAATCAAAGGTGGCAACGCATTAGAACGACACCAGTGTGTCGAACCTTGACAAATGGTAGACAGTCTGTGATAACTAAGCCTTTAACGGAACGGAATGACCCTGTCGGGAGATGCTCGCATTTGCTGCTGCTGAAGTGCTACTCCTCTTTCTTTGTTTCTTTTCTTTTCGAAGTTCATGAAAGTCGTCACTGGTTTTGCACAGGCTGGTAGCGAGCATCCGCTTGCGAGAGCAGTTCTCGACTATGCGTACCACCATTTGGTCCTTGGAGGGGTTCCTTCGACGCCAAAGCCTCTGTCGAGAACCCGGGACTTCAGCTGGGTAAAGAAATTCTCCGATTTGAAAGCGGAAGCTGCATTGTCTGTGCTGGTATGTATCTTCCACTTCCAAATCATTCGTTTGTAGCTCACAACAATCAAACAGGTGGGAAACACGAAGCTCGTAACCGAGCAAGGAATTCCGTTATCACAGCAAGCGGCCAACTACCTGCATGAAGTCGAAGAGCGTGCCAGGACGGACGTGCTAGTCACCGTTGGCCACGACCTCCGTCACTCGCAGTGTCAGACCCCCTCAAACGAGAAGCCGCCATCGTCGTGGAAGGCGTCAAACAAATGGGAATAAGGACGCTCATGATGACTGGAGATAACTGGACGACTGCCACAGCAGTGGCCAAGAAGGTAAGCCTCTCGCTAAAACTAGCGCGAGCTTTCCAAAACCAGCTCGGGATCAAGGAGTGCATGCGCCAGCGTGCGAGCAAGGGCGGAATGGGGCCACCACAGGAAGCGCGTTGCGGCATGTGTAACTATGGATCTGACTACATTTTATTTAACTTGAGTTACATCATAGTGTTGAATCTTCTGTCCGCGAGTCTTGCTTGCTTGCTTGCTACAACCTGTTCGGCATCAAATCAAACACATGAATCGATTCAGTGAAGATCTCATGAAAGAGCAGGAAAAAAATCATGATATCATACAAGATTCAACACCAAGATTGATTCATGTGTAACTAGGTGAGGCTAAATGGAGTGGGTGCTAGACTAGATGGAACTACATGTAGGAGTAGCTGTAAAACTTCATCACTACGACGAAAAGCATCATAATGGCTAAGCCCAGATCCAATTTGAGGCATTGAGAACTGCGAGCAATTCTTGAGCACACAAATTCATAATGTGGCTACATCGGATCAGACTTGTCTTGCATTAAATCAAACTACAAGCAGCCAGAGCATTCAATGATCCGACCTTTGAATCCAAGGTTTTGTAAAACCTTCAGATGTAGCACTTTTGTGATAAAGTTCACACGTCAACCTGAGTTGACCCATTGACGAGCGCTGGATTTTTTCTTGAGGGCATCAAATGAGCAGCACTTTTGAGCAAAGATTGGTAAAACAAATCATCGAGAAAAAGTTTAGAATCGAACCAGGCAGATATTCAGTTTTAAAAGTGATTCATATATGTACTTGACTTGTAATCAGGAAAGGAAGAGCATCAAAACGACAGTTTATCTCCGGAGGTATCTTCAAGCCTCGTTCTGATTCGAGGCGTTGAGAACGGTGAGCGAAGAGATACCATCCTTTGTGAAGACTAAACTTTTATGAACATATACTTCCAAACTTTGATCCAAATTACACCAGTAGAAACTTGAGCTCCAAGTTTCTGCTTTTGACCACAGATCTTACCAAGCTGCTTTGTCGAAGGACAAACTGTGCTCGTATATGTCATCTTCCAGTTCCTGATCATTCGTTTGTAGCTCACAACAATCAAATGGTGGGTAAGACAAAGCTCGTAACTGAGCAAGGACAGCAAGCGGCTGCCTACCTGTGTGAAGTCGAAGAGCATCCCAGGACGGGCGTGCTAGTCACTGTTGTTCGACTCCTTGCTCAATCAGCCATATGCATCGTCATAACCAAATGAAAACTGATAATATTTTGGACAATTATCTAATGCATAAAAGAATAAGTAACATGTGAAAGACTCTTTATGCCATTAAACAAGCTTCTAAGGAAAAAATTGATGCTTTTTAAACTAAAGATCACTCATAAAGTTTTACTCGTTGTTGCTCTCTAAATGACTCCCCATTAGGCTAACCTTTAGTTGGGTCTTGAATTTCCAGGCCTCTTCAGATCTTAAGAGCAAATTTGACTAAAGGCAGTTAAGAATTATGATTTTAAAAAAAAATATTCTTGTGGTCTGTTTCCGTGTGCAAAATTTTGATTAATACCAGCATTATGTCCAAGAATACAATAGAATAAACCATGTTGGTGTGAGGCTCGTGAATTTGAATTCAAAGTAAATTTTATAAATTTTAATACATTTAATTTATTTCTCTCTATATTAATTAATTTCATGTTAATTCTATAATCTCAACAACTCCAATTGCTATGAGAAAATGTAGAGCCTGCTACGATGATAAGTTTCACAAAAGACAACTTGAGATGCCAGTGATTTATAGAGAAGACTTGGCTTCTAATAAACATTATGAAATCTGCCAAATATTAAACAGATGAAGAACGGCAATTCACTTTTGCAAAATCCTCAAAATCGGCCAGATTTTTGTCGTTTAATTTCTTCCCACAAGCCAGTCAAACACGTGTCCTAGTTGTTGATATCCAGAGAGAATGATATCACACAGGACTTAAAAGCATGGCCATGCGATTCAAAAGCCTCTCCATTTCTACAAGAGGTTGTTTAGGTAAACCTGAAACGACGGGGATAGTGGAGGAGCCGGATGTTGTGATCCACGCTTCGCGCTGGTGTTGCGTCAGCGATCTTGACTCAGGGAGAATCTATTCCAAGTTTATGTTCTTCATGATAGTTCGCAGAGAGTGGCTTTGATCACTTGAGCCGGCACCCGGTGGTAACGAGCTTGAGATGTGAGCACCTTGAGAAAGATGATGGGTTTGTGGATGACGGTGGTGGCAAGGCGTGGTATTGTAGCACATATAACATGTACTGGATTGGGCACTGTTTGGGCTTTACTCCCTCGCGACGGATCGTGTTCCATCCCAACAGCTGGATTTTCACGGTGCAATACACTGGCATCGCAGAGTTCGTCTTAGTGCCCCTTTTCTCCTGATTTTTCTACATATTTATTTGAAACCATTTTATCTATCCATCTATTTGCAAAGTGTCAAAGAACATTTTTTAGATAGAGACCACGCAGTCTGACTTGTCTTCGCTTAGAACTTGATGATGTTACATGGATCTGCAACCGAGTGGGCAGTAGATAGATAGACTTGCAAAAGGAAGAAACTAACAAAACACTATGAGAAATTTGTTGAAGTGTTGCTAAAATGCATTATAAATCTTAAAACATAGAATTATTTTGCCTTTGCAATTTGTTCACTTAGAGCATCTCTGGGATATGCCTGGGCAAATGGATTGGCGGCACTGGAAATTCTTGCGACATGCAACTAAACGCCCTGCAAGATACCTGATAAGCAAAAAAGAATTAGCCACTCCATAGCGAGACCGTACATACCTTGCCCTTGAAGGAGATTGCCGTACTGTCGTACAGGCGCCATGGCCACTTCGTCTTCTTCGTCTTGCCGCCGCGCGCTTTCTTCTTCTTGGAGATGAGCCTCGCGAGCCTGGAGGATGGAGACGAGGAGGGAGGGGCGGATGAGGGAGAGGAGAAATCGCCGCTGCTGGAGTAGTAAATGTAGCTCTTGCTGGAGGAGGAGGGACTGCTCTTTGGGGCGGCGTCCACACTCTTGCGGCGATCGAAGTCCCGCAGCCACAGCGCGGTCTGGGGGCTGTAGCACTGGAAGGCGGCGAAGTGGAAGCAGAATGGCGCGTGGAGGGCGAGATCGTCGCTTGGAGCGGCGGCGAGATCCGAGTACTTGAGCGACAGCTCCTTGGAAACCATCTTCCCTACCAATTCCAACTGGATGGATTGCTGCCGGCTCCTCTCCATGGCGATCGATCACTAGCACTCACAGAAAAGAATTGGGATTGGATTGACGATCAGGAAAAACTCCCAAACTCTTCCTCTCGAGCGCCCAAGAACCGGAGCTCTTTGGGGCATTAGCCGAATTTAAGCAGCGCCATTACGCTAAATTAATTGCTTGCTCGTCGTGGAGTCTCGAATTTAGGAATCACGAGAAACGTTCACATTCCTTTCCTTTAATTCGCTCCATCTCATAAAAATCCGCTATGACCCATCAAACTTTACATGCTGGTAGTAACGGATAAATTTCTTGCCAGCAAGGTCTATTGCCTTGAAACTTTGGTAAGATCCTATGATCAAGCCATCAGTTACCACAAAAATAAAAACCTTACATGGTTTGCTTGCCGAATTATTGTCGTCCAAAAATCTTTGCGGTGGAAGGATTGACCTCCTTTTAAGCCAGCGCGGCCACAGCCTTCTCTGCGGCATCGTCCAAGTCGTCCGCAGCGATCAAGTTCATCTTACTCTCCTGCAAACAAAGAATGAACCTCCCTCCAAACTATAAACAAGGGAGTTGTATATAGCTTACCTTTAGTATTCTCTTTCCTAGATCAACATTTGTGCCTTCCAATCGAACGATCAGTGGGACTTTGAGTGACACCTACAAGGACCAGAGCAGAGAGTTCTTTTTACTTCATCCACATGCATCCACATGTCCAAGAGGAAGAGAAAGACGCACCGTCTTGGCAGCGTTGACAATACCACTCGCGATCACGTTACACTTCATGATTCCACCGAAGATGTTCACCAGAATGGCCTTCACCTTCTTGTCAGACGTGAGGATTTTGAAGGCTTCAATGACCTGGAAAGAAGTAGCAAACGGAGTCTAGACGAGAGAGAAAAAGTGGTATAAGGTACCTGGTTTTCTGAAGCGTTTCCGCCAACGTCAAGGAAGTTGGCTGGTGATCCTCCGTGCAGTTTGATGATATCCATGGTTGCCATCGCGAGTCCTGCTCCATTCACCATGCAGCCAATCTCGCCATCCAATCCAATGTAGTTCAAATCGGCGGCAGCAGCAGCGACCTGTTTTTCGAACAGGCATTAAAACGTGAAACTATGAACAAGGTCTCAAACCTCTCGAGCATCTTCTTGAGATTGATCACGAAGTGCGAATATCTCCTGTTGACGGAAGCTCGCATTGTCATCGAAGTTGAGCTTCGCATCGGCAGCGACGAGCTTTCCATCCGCAGTCTCTGCCAGTGGATTGATCTGCATAATTGGCACTTGGTTAGATGGCTATAGCCTAGGGGCAAAGTTTCTCACCTCCACAAGCGTGCAGTCGGATTTGCAGAAAAGATCATACAGGTGCTTTACTTGCTGCATCGAGTCGTTTTTATCTGCGCACTTCAAGTTCAGTCCGTTTACAACCTTCTCTGCATCGGCATCGGTGATGCCTTTGTGGATGTTGATAGGGACCTGGCATTAGAATTAGTACATTCTTCTAAATTTGAAGAGAGGAAAATAAAAACCTTGATGATCATGTCCGGGTATTTCTCAGCCAAATCTTCTATGCTTGTTCCACCCTTGCTGCAGGCAATAATAACCTGGTATAAAAACAGCATGTAAATCAGAGGAGAAAAAAAAATTGGGTGAGCTTACAGGCCCAGCGCTTGCTCTGTCTAGAGCAATGGCGAAGTACATTTCATTGACAAGCTGCAGCTTCTCGCATATGAAAACCTGAGGAAGGGTTCAATGAGTGGGTTTCTGTAACCAACCATTACCTTGTTCACTGGCTTTCCCTCCGGTCCCGTTTGCTTGGTCACAAGTATCTGACCAAGCATTTTTCCTGGAAAGATGTGCTTAAGCAAAGGTCTCTTAAGGAAATCGCAAACCTGCAATGTCCTCGACTTTGTCTCGTTTGACGATGTGAACTCCTCCTTTCAAACCATTCTTGAAAGTTCCCAAACCACGACCACCAGCCAAAATTTGACTCTTGACAACAAGCTGAAAAAGAAAAAAAGAAGAAGAAGAAAACATGAAAACGTTCGTCTTCCTCTCTGGAAACCATACCTCTTCATTGTCAGGGAACTCCTTTTCCAACACGGTTGAGATCTCTTTCCTGGACGAAACAACCGCCCCTTTTGGAACATTCACACCATACTTGCTCATAAGATCGGCGCCCTGGACGATCAACACGGCAATGGGACTCACTCAATCGATCGATCGGATGCTACTGAGCTAAGGAAATACCTGATACTCGTGGATGTTGAGATGCCGCAACTGCTGCTCCCAGGGACCGCTTTTCGGCGCGGCGATGGCCTTGTGCAGTGGATAGAAGGAAGAAATCCGCGATCTGGCCACGACATTCGCGACGCGCCTCGCCATCGCGCTCGCCATTGCCGCAGCTCGATAACCTAATTCAAACCCTGCAATTTCTATTAAACACACCGACGTGGCAAGCCAACGCATCGCTTGCGTGGCAATGACGTGGCACACTCTTGTAAAACGATTCGAACCCCTGACGGATTGGAAGAACACATTTTCTCTGTTGACGTGTAGAGATCATGGCTCGAGGATGGGGACGAGGGGGCGATCGCGGCGAGGATGCTGAGGATCACGACGAATTCGATCCAGAGCCCTACGTCGGGGGCTACGACATTGGATCTGTGTATGGCGCCATCAAGGAAGCGAGTGAAGAGTGGAGCTACCCTCGCAGTGGCGATCCGGGTGAGTATGGCGATGAGGATTTCGAGGTGGATGTGGGGAGAGCCACGGATTATGGCACTGCCAAGCCTTCTTACTACGGCCATGGCCAGGGGAAGAGTAGCTATGGCGGGCATTCATCTGGGTATGATGGATCTGGCTATGGCGGAGGGAGTGAGTATGGATCTGGGAATGTAGGCTATGGTGGTGGGCAGGGCGAGAGTGAAGGCTACGGTGGTGGCAATTACGGTGCCGAGGAGAGCGGAGGCTACGGGTATGGTGGTGGTCGGAAGAAATACGGTGAGGAACAGGAGAGCCAGGGTTATGGCGGTGGCTATGGAGGTGGTGGTGGCGAGGAGGGGACCGAGGGCTACGGAGGAAGAAAGAAGTATGGCGGCGATGAGGAGGAGAGCGAGGGCTATGGAGGACGAAACAAGTATGGTGGAGACGATGAAGCGAGCGAAGGTTATGGAGGACGAAAGAAGTATGTTGGAGAGGAGGAAGAGAGCGAAGGCTATGGAGGACGGAAGAAGTATGGTGGCGACGTTGAAGAGACCGAAGGCTATGGAGGGCGAAAGAAGTATGGTGGGGACGATGAAGAGACCGAAGGCTATGGAGGGCGAAAGAAGTATGGTGGGGACGATGAAGAGACCGAAGGCTATGGAGGGCGAAAGAAGTATGGTGGCGAGGAGGAAGAGACCGAAGGTTATGGAGGGCGCAAGAAGTATGGTGGCGACGTTGAAGAGACCGAAGGCTATGGAGGGCGAAAGAAGTATGGTGGGGACGTTGAAGAGACCGAAGGCTATGGAGGGCGAAAGAAGTATGGTGGCGACGGTGAAGAGACCGAAGGCTATGGAGGGCGAAAGAAGTATGGTGGCGAGGAGGAAGAGAGCGAAGGCTATGGAGGGCGAAAGAAGTATGGTGGCGACGTTGAAGAGAGCGAAGGCTATGGAGGGCGAAAGAAGTATGGTGGTGACGAGGAAGTGACTGAAGGCTATGGAGGGCGAAAGAAGTATGGAGAAGACGTTGGAGTGACCGAAGGCTATGGAGGGCGAAAGAAGTATGGTGATGACGTTGAAGAGAGCGAAGGCTATGGAGGAGGAAAGAAGTACGGTGGAGATGAAGAGAGCGAAGGCTATGGAGGACGAAAGAAGTATGGTGGCGACGAGGAAGGCGAAGGCTATGGCGGTGGAGGATATGGCAGTGGTCGAAAGAAATACGGGGAAGAAGAGAGTGAAGAAGGCTATGGAGGCCGGAAGAAGTACGAAGAAGGCGATGGCGAAGGCTATGGCGGCTATGGAGGCCGGAAGAAGTACGGGGAAGACAAGAGCGAAGGCTACACTGGCTATGGCGGCCGGAGGAACTATGGCGAGGACTAAAGCTATGGTGTGCTAGTAAGAATAATGTTACTCTGTTTCTTGTGTGGTTTTTAAATGTCTCTTGGCGCTAAATGTCTAGGGCAAAGCTATCCGTACTTTGCGGGAGAGCGACTCTTCTCCTCCTCCGCGCGCCCAGCCCCAATTGCTGCTCCCTCATCATCCGGCGCACCATCTCGGCGTCCTGGATCCTCCCAGCGCCGAGGTAGGCGTTGCAAATCAGCGCGTAGGGCACATCGATCGCCCCAAATCGCGACTCAAGAACACGATCCGCGGCGCGCGCCCCCCTGTGCGCATCGCCGTGCGTCCGGCACGCCGCGAGCAAGCTCGTCCACGGCACCACATTGGGCACGAATGGCATGCTCGCGATCAGATCCTCGGCCTCCTGGAGCCGCCCCGCGCGCCCGATCACATCCACCATGCAGTAGAAGTGCTCCACGCTCGCGGCCATCCCCCGATCGTCGCCCAGGAGGACGAAGTAGCTCCAGCCCTCGGCCAGCAATCCCTCGTGCCCGCAAGCGCTCAGCACGCTCAGGATCGTGATCTCGTCCGCCGCCACGCCCTCGAGATCCATCGCCCGGAAGAACCCTAGCGCCGCCCTGCCGTGCCCGTTCTGGGCATTCGCCGCCACCATCGCCGTCCACGAGACCGTGTCGTGGTTGGGGATCCGCGAGAAGAGCTTCGTGGCGGGGATTAGAGCTCCTTCTTGCGCCATCGCGGATATCAGCACCGTGTAGGGCAGTGGGCTCGCGCAGGGGACCTGGTTGAGCATCGCGAGCGCTTCCTCGATTTGCCCATCTTGGGCATACGCCGCGATCATCGTGTTCCAGGCCACGGAATCCATCGCCGGCATCGCGTCTAGAATCGATCGCGCGTCGTCGATGTAGCCGTTCTGCGCGTAGGCTTGGATCATCGCGCTCCAAGAGACTTGGTTCCGGGCGGGCATTTGATCGAAGAGGCTGCGCGCCTCGTCAATCGATCCCGCGGCACCGAGCCCCGAGATCATGGCGGTGATGGAGACGATGTTTTGCTCCGGGAGCTGGGCGAATAGCACTGCTGCCTCGCGCGCTAGCCCGGCCTGTGCCAGCGCCGTGATCATCACCGTCCAGGAGACGACATTCCACTCGGGCATCCCCGCGAATGTGATCTTGGCGGCGGCGAGATCGCTCTCCTCCGCCGCTAGCATCGCCGTCCAGGAGATGATGTTCCTCTGCGGCATCGCACGGAAGAGCCGCCGCGACTCTCCAAGATGCCCGTGAAGGGCATTTGCTTGGATCATCGTGTTCCAGGACGCCACATCTGTTTCGGGCATTTGATTGAACAGCCGGCGCGCTAGCGGCAACCGATCGTCCTCCGCGAGTGATTTCATCATCGCGTTACACACCGTGACATCGCGATCGGGCATCTGGGAGAAGAGTTCTTGCGCGGAGGCGTGATGCCCGCGCTGGGCATATGCGTGTATGAGGATCGTGCAGCACACTACGTTGAGATCCGGCATTTGGAGGAGGATCGCGCGTGCTTGCTCGAGATCGTCTGCCAGCGCGTACGCGCGGATCATCGCCGCGGAGGCCACTGGATCCGGCAGTGGGTTTTGCTCGAAGATCTTCCTCGCCTCGCGCAAATCCCCGTTGTGGGCATATGCCGCGAGCATGATGTTCCAGGAGAATTTGTTGGGGGACTCGAGGGAATCGAACACCTCCCGCGCGAGCGCGACGCTGCCACACTTCCCATACATCTCGATGAGGAGATTGCGGAGGAAGAGATTCTTGGCGTGATCGCTGCGCGAGATCTGCGAGTGCGCGAATTTGCCCTCGGCGAGGTTCCTGGATTCGCCGCAGGATTTGAGCAGCCGGGCGAAGAATTTGATCTCGTCTTGCTTGGCGCTGGCCGCCGTCGCGATCATTGAGTCATCGCAAGAAACTCTCTCACGATCACCATCGATAGTTTTCTTCTTCGTGGAGGCGTCTAAGGAAGGGACAATGGAGGGAATGATCCTGTCACACACGTGGCACGATTCTAGAGCTTGCGAGCGTGGCCACGTACAGTCCATAAGCGCAATGGCGGCAAGGTTTCGGCCATATGGCCCATGTGTTCCTCGCGAGGATAAAGCCCTTAAATATTTTCTGTGAGGTGGAGCAATGGCGCCATATTGCGCTTTCTAGGGAGGAAATCCGGCGAATTCGCGAGCTCCGAGCAACGCAATCCGGCAGGTAAATGCGATCGTCTCCTCCTGAATCGAAATCTTTGGTGTGATTCCATCGTCTACAGATTGTGTCATTCCATCCATTCCAGGTGTGGCGCAATGACGAGCACGGCATTCTGTGCCAGAGGATCCGATGCCGGCCTAGGTTATCAGCAGCGCAGGGCAATCGACCATAGGAGAAGTGCCAAATGCTGGAGCAGGAGAAGAGTAGTCGCCGAAGGAGCCACGATTTCTTTCACGGCTGATAGCGGGAGTCCCACGAGCTTGAGCGTGAACACCTCCTCTCCAATACCAGGTGAAAATTCTTTACGCTCTTTTCTTTTTCTTTCTTTCTTTGCTCTTCCCAGTGTTAATTTGAGCTTCCGGTAGATAGCTGGAGATGCTACCAATTCCAGATTTCTCAATGGCGTGGCTTCTTACGTCCAGCGACGCGAGCGACGCGAGAAGCTCAGCTTGAATGAGATTATCGAGCCCGTGAGCAGTGATCTTGATGCGCTCAACCAAAACTTACAATCTGTAAGTTTGTTCGTCCTTTGAGCTTGCAGAAATTTATGGTTTTTTTTTTTTTTCAGATCGTTGGTGTGCAGAATCCTCTTTTGATGTCAGCCGCGGAGCAGATCTTCGGTGCCGGTGGAAAGAGAATGCGTCCAGCGATCGTGTTCTTGGTGTCGAGAGCAACTATGCAGCTTGCTCGTCTCAAGTAACTTTTCCTGTTTTCTTCATCTCTCCACTGTACTAAGTCTTTGATATGTAAATGGCAGCACGATCCATCTACAGCACCGAAGACTAGCGGAAATTACAGAAATGATACACACAGCTAGCCTCATTCACGACGATGTCCTGGACGAGAGCGACGTCCGACGAGGTGAGAAATCGAATCTTTGACATTGACATACTGGCTATGCACAGGGAAAGAAACCGTCCATCAACTATACGGAACTAGAATTGCAGTGTTAGCTGGCGATTTTATGTTCGCGCAGTCGTCTTGGTACTTGGCAAATCTGGACAACCTCGAAGTTATCAAGTTGATTAGTCAGGTTTGTCTCACTCTTTCGCGAAGAAACCGTCCGTCCTCTTACTCGGACTCCTTTTGTATCTAGGTGATCAAAGACTTCGCTAGCGGAGAGATCCAACAAGCGTCGAGTCTGTTCGACTCCGACATCACGCTAGACAACTACTTGGACAAGAGCTACTACAAAACGGCCTCTCTCATCGCAGCCAGCACTCGCTCGGCCGCCATCTTCAGCGGTGCCGACCCGAGCGTCTGTGACAAGATGTTCGACTATGGGAAGTACCTGGGCTTGGCGTTCCAGATCGTGGACGACATCCTCGACTTCACGCAGTCGACGGCACAGCTCGGGAAGCCCGCCGGAAGCGATCTAGCGAAGGGGAACTTGACAGCCCCGGCACTGTTTGCCCTGGACAAGGAGCCGGAGCTGAGGAAGCTGATCGACTCCGAGTTCACGGACGAGGGATCGCTGGAGTCCGCAGTCCAGCTGGTGAAGAGAGGCGGAGGGATCGACAGGGCGATGGAGCTGGCCAAGCAAAAGGCCGAGCTCGCGATCCAGGCTCTCGAGTGCCTGCCAGTGGGAGCGGCCAGGAGCTCGCTGGAAAAGATGGTGGAGTATGTTCTTGAGAGGGTGTTTTGATCGTCCGGGGATACTGTAAGAATTATTTCCATTCATTATCGATGAGCTCTCGAGGAAATCAAAGATTGTTTGTGCTCAAAACGTAGAGTGCCGAGTCCCGTGGATCCGATCGAATCGCGTGCCTGGCAACGTCGATCACGCGCTCTTTCATGGCGCTCTTGCCACTCCCACTCCGGCAAGCATCCAGCAAGCTCGTCCAGTCGCGAGAATCGGGCAAGAACGGCATGTTTGTGATGAGCTCGCGCGCATCCTCCAGATGCCCAGCGCGGGCAATGATATCGATCATGATGCTATACTGCTGCTTCGTCCCGCGCAGCGCGAAATCCATCGCCATGGATCGGAAGTAGCGCAGCCCCGCGCTCAATCCGCCCGAGTGGCTGCAAGCAAAGAGCATATGGACGAAGCTCACCTCGTCGGGAGCGATCCCATCGCGGATAGAGCGCGCGAAGATCCGCCGCCCGCGAGCAATGGATCGCGAGTTTGAGCTGTGGAACAGCATCGCGAGCATGACGTTGGTGGACTCAAGGTTGCGCGAAGGCATGAGCGCGAAGATCCGGGTGGCGGCCGGGGTGTTCCCGGCCTGCGTGTAGGCAGCCAAGAGAGCGTTCCAGCAAACTACGTCCCTCTCGGGCATCAACGCGTGATCGAAGATACGCTTGGCCTCACCGACATGCCCGCTCTGGGCGTACAGCGTCAGCATCGTCGTCCAGGAGATCACATTTCGGTCCGGCATTGCATCGAAGAGCTCCCGCGCCGCCTCCAAATCCCGGTGGCACCGCCGCCGCTCCTCCTCCTCCTCGTCCTCGATTTCACTATCTTCTTCTTTGGAGGCAAAGGTGGTGGGATGGACTTCGGAGCCATCAGCTCCCACAGGCTTGATGTCGACTACCATTTTGCTGAGTGTGACGTCTCTCTGGCGCTTGCGATTGTATGCCGCTGCCGCTGCTTTTGCGTATGCCGATAGCATCGCATTCCACACCACGATGTCTCGCTCCGGCGCGCGATCAAACAGCTCCCTGGCCGGATCCAGATGCCCGGACTGGGCATACACAGAGACCATGACGTTCCAGCAGACGAGATCTCTGTATGGCATAGCGTCGAACACGCTTCTGGCCAGGTCGGTCTTGCCACTCGTCCCGTACATGATGAGAAGCCCGTTCCATGAAACTATATCCCGCGCTGGCATTTGGTCGAAGAGCTCTTTGGCCTCGCGACTATGCCCTGCTTGGGTATATGCGTTCATCATCGTGTTCCAGGAGATATAGTCTCTCTCCGGCATTGCATCGAAGAGTTTCTTGGCTTGCGCGACATGGTTGTTTCTGGAGTTTGCTGCCAGCATTGTGTTCCAAGTGATCAGGCCTCTCTCGGGCATCTGATCAAACACAACTTGGGCTTTTTCCATTTGCCCTTTTTGGGCATATGCCGCAAGGAGAGAGTTCCATGAAACTATGTCTCGTTCCGGAAATCTATCGAAGATGTCTTTGCATTCCTGGAGGTTTCCGGCGTGGACGTAGGCGCCCAGCATTGCGTTCCAGGAGACGCGATCGCGGTCGGGGATGGAGTCGAAGAGGAGCTTCGCTTGGGCGGTGTGATGCCCCGTCCGGGCATATGCCGAGAGCATGGCGTTCCAGGAGATGACGTCTTTGTCCCGGATGGCGGCGAAGATTTGCTCCGCGTGATCCAGGCTGCCGCAGCGGGCATAGCGCTGGAGCAGGAGATTTGAGAGGCCGGTGTTGCGATCGAGGAAGAGGCCGCCGTGGCGGAGGATGATCCGCTTGTGGATCGCTTGGAGATTGGCCAAGCTGCGGCAAGACTTGATCCAGGCGTCACACTCGAGTGTAAGTCTCTCGTTTCCAGCTGCCGCGACAACAGTCATTGGAGTGGAAGGAATCGTTCAAGGCTTGGATCGCGGAGCAAGCATAAGAGATTCAAGCTGGAAAATTTCCGGTCAAGCTACGCAATGGCCGGGGACCAAGAAATGCACGAACATGGAAGATTTCTCTCCATAGATCATGTCGAGATTGATGTTGGCTCTTCTTCTTCTTCTCCTTCTTTCTTGTGATGGTCATAGCTGTGTTAGCACTGTTGCTCAAACCGATGACTATGAGCCATTGCCACCACCACCACCGCAAGATCAACAGGCACTACCGCCGCCGCCACCCTCACAAGGCCAGGATCAAGAGCCACCTCCACCGCCACCACAAGATCAACAGCAGCCATTGCCGCCACCACCACAAGATCAAGAACAGCAACCACCATCACCGGCAGATCAGCGGCATCAGAGTGGAACGATCGGCGTGAATTGGGGAACCCAGATGTCACACCCGCTGTTCGCGCCGGACGTGGTTCGCGCGCTCGTCTCCAACAATGTGGGACGAGTGAAATTGTTCGAGGCGGATCCCCGGATCATGAGCGCTCTGGCGGGTTCACCGCTGGAGGTGATGCTGGGCATCCCAAACGACATGCTGGAGACGCTGGCCACCGACGCCGCCGCCGCGAGCAACTGGGTGCTCATGAACGTCACGCACTACTACCTCCGCAAGAAGAGGGTCAATATCAGGTAAGTGTGTGTTGACTATCACAGTTGACTGTTGAGAAGTGTGGACTAACGTTGACTAGAGAAGGAAATGGATGGAGTGTTGAGTGAAAGGTGTTGACTGAAGTCGACTAACGAACGAGTGGACTGAGAGTATAGTTGTGACCAACTTACTGAAAATTTACCAGAGTGGACTGATGACTGAAGGGTAAGCTTACTTGACCCAGGTATGTCGCTGTCGGAAACGAGCCCTTTCTCGCGGGCTACAACAAAAGTTTCGAGGGCGTGACCCTCCCAGCACTGAAGAACATCCAGGCGGCGCTCTCCAAGGCCAAGTTCGCCGACCAGATCAAAGCCATCGTGCCACTCAATGCCGATGTGTTGCAGCCCCGGGACCCCGGCAACCAAGATCCATCCACCGGAGTTTTCAGGAACGATATCAAGATGCTCATGGACGACATTGTGAAAGCTCTCGCCAGCACCGGAGCCCCCTTCACGATCAACCTCTATCCTTTCATCAGCCTGGCGCAGGATCCAAACTTCCCCAGTGAATATGCGTTCCTGGACGGGTGCTTCCAGGTCCAATACGGCCAGAGCACCTACACGAGCGTCTTTGATGCCACCTTCGACATGCTGGTCGCGGCTCTCACGGACTCGGGCTTCCCAAACATGGAGATCATCGTGGGCGAGGCCGGGTGGCCGACCGATGGTTTCCCGAGCGCGACACCTTCCAACGCGAGGAGATTCAACCAGGCTCTGGTCAGTCGAATCATCTCGTGAGTATCTCATGCCAACTTCCAGATGCATACCAGTTTAGTTCGATCTTGCGAGTGTTTTAAGTTCTTCCACCTCTGGATCCACAGGCCCTCTCCACCAGGTACCCCAATGCGGCCAGGAACTGTACTCCACGCCTATATCTTCAGCCTCTTCGACGAGGACCTCAAGAGCATCGCCCCGGGTAACTTCGAGCGTCACTGGGGTCTCTTCACGTACGATGGTCAGCCCAAGTACCTCCTCAACACGAGCGGAAGCTCGTCAGTGCTCGAGAAAGTCGGTGGCGTTGACTACTACCCGGCACTGTGGTGCGTCTTGAAACCCGGCATAGCAGTCCCGCAAGGCCAGATTGATTTCGCTTGCTCGGCAGCCGACTGCACGCCGCTCGTCCCGGATGGCGGCTCTTGCTACTCGACGCTCTCTCCCGAGCAGGCCGCTTCGTACGCGTTCAACAGCTACTTCCAGCTCAAGGACCAAGTTCCCAGCAGCTGTGACTTCCAAGGAAACGGGATCATCACCGGTGTCGATCCCAGCACGCCGAACTGCCGATTCATCCGGCAGATCAAGCTGAAAGTCGTCGCATCGCACTCTTCACGAGCTACTTTAGAGCGTCCTCGAGCGTTTGCCATGATGGTGTTCGCCATCGTTCTCGCTGTAGTGATAAGAGAAATTTAAGCAAACGAAAGAGTTTGTGTTCCCAAAAGCTTATCTCTGGTCCTAGCAGTTTGTTCTTCTGGTTAGAAAAAAGAGTTTCATTCGTGATTTCCGTCGTGATGTGAATTGCGAACGTTTACCTCTGGTAAGATCCATGGTTGCATTGATCTCTACGAAGCCCGGGATCAAGGTAGAGGTAAAACCAAAGTCAAGCAAGGAGTTGAGTAGCAGTGCGTTTTAAGGATGACAGCCGCTACTCTTCGGACCGAGGTGGGAGAGATAGGACGTTTGGAGATGGTCGATTCTGCTCGTAGTGATGTTGGTCCGGCTGGACTTCTCGACAACGCTGTCGCTACTGCTGCTGCTGCTGCTAGTTGGATCAAGTCGAGCTCAGGTTGGTGTCAACTGGGGAACGCAGGTATCTCACCCCCTCCACGCGCCGAGCGTTGTCAAAATGCTCCAGAAGAACAGCTTCACGAGAGTGAAGATGTTTGACACGGACGCCTCCGTCCTCCACGCACTGGCAGGCTCCAACATCGAAGTCATGGTTGGAATTCCCAACACCATGCTGGAGACGCTGTCCTCGAGCATGCACGCTGCTCGCAACTGGGTGGAGAGCAACGTAACTTGGTACCTCAAGTACCCCAAGAGACGAGTAGACATCAGGTGATATCTTTTGTTTCTTTTTGTCTTCCTGTTTGTGATCGTTTGTTGATCTGAGAGGTTGTCAAACAGATACGTCGCTGTTGGCGAGGAACCACTACACGATGTGAGACTCGACGCTGTTATTGGAGCAGTGAAGAACATCCGGGCTGCGCTCGACAAGCAGACAAGAACCAGAGATATCAAAACCACCATTCCCTTCAGCGCTGGCATCGTTACCTCGAACTCCTTCACACCCTCCACTGGAAATTTCATCCGCCCCGACGAGATGAAGACCATCTTGGAGCTTCTCTCCGACTCAAAGTCGCCTTTCACCGTCAACATCCACCCCTTCATCAGCTCGGTGAACGATCCATCCTTTCCCCTCGATTTTGCCTTCTTCGATGGCGATTTCCCATTTCAACAGGACCAAGGCAACAACTACACCAACGCCTTCGACGCCATCTTCGACACTGTGGTGTCGGCTCTGAAACAAGCCGGCTTCCCGGACATGCCAATCATCGTCGGAGGAACCGGATGGCCGACCGACTGCAACCTTCAGGCGAATCCGCAAAACGCTAAGCGATTCAACCAAGGCCTGGTGAAGCGGATTGAAAGCTCCAGAGGTACCCCGCTGAGGCCCGGCAAACTCCACGCATATATCTTCAGCCTGGTGGATGAAGACCGCAAGAAACCAGGCTACGAGCGGCACTGGGGGATCTTCCAGTACGATGGAACTCGCAAGTATGACCTTACGCTGTTGGGTGCCAGAGAGCTGGAGAACGTCCCAGACGTCGAGTACATGCCTGCGAGGTGGTGCGTCTCAAACGACGCCACGGACGGGCTGGAGCAGAGGATCAATGCCACTTGCCAGCAAGTAGACTGCAGTCCTCTCCTCGAAGGTGGCTCTTGCAACTTTCTCACCGTGAGCGAGCGAGCGAGCTATGCTTTCAACAGCAACTATCAGCTCAATGACCAGGCCACCAGCAGCTGTGATCCCGAGTTTGGCAGAGTCGTAAGGGATGATCCGAGCCACGGGAACTGTCGATTCATGCGGCAGATCGTTGTCAATAGCGCTGAGAGGGAGAGGCTTTGTAGAAATGTGTTGGCGTTCGTGTGGTTGACGTTGTCGATGCTTTTCATCTGACCACCGCGCTCGTATAGATTGTCTAGCTGAATCTTACCTCTTCCATGCTTTGTCTATGGAGCACGTTTCCGCTTGGATCCAACCATGAAGCAGAAGCCAAGCACCTCCATTCCGACATAGCCAACAAGCAAGTGCTGGATTAGTCGCGGACATCTCGAACAGGGCTGCTCAACACGAATGGCCCTAAATGCTTTAAAAATAAACAACTTCACGTTTATAAGTTTTATTACACAAACTTTATATTTATTGATTGTATTTTTACTTGGATTCTGGGATATTATTGTTATTCATATAGATTAATTTTGTTTATATAGTTTATAAAATATTTCTAGTATATTCTAGTTTTTTTAAGATATACCTAGAAAATACTTAAATAATCTGGGATATTCTACCTTTAACAGTTAATACTTCCTAGTATATTCTTTTTTATTCTAGCAATAAGATTATTCTTGCATTTATAAATTAAAAACATGTTTATAATTATAAACTTCCATAGATTAGTAAATAAAATACTATATAGGAATAGCAATACTATTCAACACCCAAAAAATTATTAGTACATTAAAATATAGCTATATATTGTAATCAAAACATGATTGGGAGTATTTTTCTTTTATTCTACATAATATTATAATTGACAGAATCATGTTTTGATTGCTATAGTTGCAATCAAAATATGATTGTATTTTATAATATTGATATAGGGCATGCTATGTTGTAGCAATTCTAAAACAGGTGTAAGCCTGTGCAATACATAAGAAGATGTCCCATATCCTAAAGAACCCCCCTTGAATTAACTTGACTCCCAACTCATAACTTGCTCAATAACCATTTCCCCCCTTGAACTCTCCCTCTATCCACCCTATAAATACATAGATTTATCAGCAATTTAACAACATATCTTCCTTCCATGTTGGGTTCCTTTATCATGCAATGTGGCAACTACAAACTTACCTATAAAAGATATGGGCCACTAAAGCTGAAGTAGTTCTCCTTTTGTTGAAATTGAGGCATTTCCATATGCCTTATGTCTACTCCTCTCCTCTACTATGACTGTGTGATTTCGCCTCTCATTCCTTGACAACCTCATTTGTTGTGTTGGGGAGATTATCTAGCCTAGCTCATTTGTTGGGAATATTACCTATTAAACTTTCTTTGGGAAGCCACTACTTAAGTGTTTATCATAATGCAGAAGTCCAAATTTAAGAAGGGCAAATTAATGTAGCAACTTGATATATGAATAAGAATCTTGCCTCATTGAGTCAAAATTCAAGAATATTGTATGCAACTCTTTGCAGGCATTTCCAACAATTAAGAAGAATGCATATAAAGATTAATGTGTGAGTTAGCAAAGGAAAACAGTTCAAGGCCAAGACCACATGCTAGATGCAAGGTTGAATCAATAATATGTGAAGACTAAGAACAAATCTTTGAGTAGTTGATTAATAAGTTTTTTATATGTCATTCTCACCATATTCCATCATCTATGCACAATTCAAGCTTTAATCCAAGTGTGGGAGTGCTTAATAGTAGAGCTTATTATTTATTGATTAAATAAAAACTTATAAATGATTATAATACGATAATAATAAATAGTTCCTTTCTTTCTGGTAATAAACTTAACACTTAACCCTAAATCTTCTAAAACTTTTAACTGATTAAAAAAAATATTGCACTTTTATTTCTAAGTTCTTTATCTTTATATTTAAACCCTTATTGATAGTTTGTTAAGTCATTCTTTTTTATTGTTTACACTTTTGTATACATGCAATTCTCTACTTTCATTTCAATTTTTTAGAGGAAATAAATATATATAACTTTATAAGACCAATACATGATTTAAGCTTCAATTAAATGAAATTAATTCTATTACATATAAATGACAAAATAAAGTAGAATATTCTAGAAAGTGTTCAGGAAATTTGTAATTTATACTTATTAATTATAAATACAAGATTAATAAAAATAATAATAACAGTTATATGGTAGAATATCCCAAAATATCCAAACATATTTTAGGTATATCTTATAGGTTTGCTTAAGCAACCAAAGGCTAGTAATTTATTTTAAAAAATCTTAAATATTAATAATTTTATTGACATTGGCAACACCACTACTATGATTTGCAATATAACATCATATATTCTTCTTAAAGCATGACTCTATTTTTGTCTTTTAGAAATTTGAATCTTCTTGTTAAACTTTTCTTTAATATGTTGTTTATATTTCAAGCAAAGTAAAAAACTTTTAAAAAATTCAGAATTTCACAGGAAGTTCCTAAAATAGGCACTCTAATATTATATTTTCAAATTTCTATTTAACTTAATAATCATTATTATGAATTTAATATATAGTTGGGCAAATTATCTAACTCACTTCTCTATGGTAATAATGATTATTCTATCAAATTTATTTTGCCAATTAATTTATTATTTAATTTCAATTGTTATGGTTTAATACCAAGATTTAGCCCCAAACAGGTTGATTTCACAATAACAAGGTTAAATGCTATTAGAAGGGAGTTTTGTTTCCAAGGCTATTTGTTTGTGGATATATAAATAGTAATTAACAGAATTATGATGGAAGAAATTTAATGAAATTACAGATATTAACATAAAACTAAATTATAACAAAAAAACTAGTAAATCTATAGAAATAATTTTTACCGTTTTAAGGAAATATAAATTACTTGACTATCGAGATTCCTAGATACTAGTAGATTTAGATGTACAATTTTAATTATAAAGCATTAAGCAGCAGTAATGCTGATTTGTGCTGGGATCTCGTAATCCAGTGCTGAAGCTCCACCTGGAAGCCAGATAGCCTGCTTGAGTAGACCCCAGCAACACGCAATTGATAGTCACCTCATTCATGCCATGATTCTCTTCCAGCTTCATCTCTGCCGCTTGGGATCCTCACTGATTGATCGAGTTCATTGCTAGAACTGTGTTCCAAGCGGCAATGCCCCTCTTGGGCATTGTGTCGTGCAAACACTCGGCTCTTCCAAATTGCCCTCTCCCCGCAACTGCGGCGAGGAGCGCTGACCACGACGCAGAGTCTCTGACCGGCATTGACGAGAAGGTCTAGTCAACAAGGTCAAACTCTCTGTTGTGGAGATACGTCGCAAGCATTGCGTTTTACGAGATGAGAGTCCACCCCGGCATGGAGTCAAACAGAATCTCCGACTCGCGGCCATGCCTGTGCCGGGCATATGCCGACACCAAGGCGGTCAACACGACAACCTCATAATGGGGGTCCGGTCAAGCACGGCAAGAACCTCGTAAATGGTCGGAGTACGCCATCACCATGTTGCTCCACGTCGTACAAAGGAGATTCTCGGCATCTTCCAGATTTTTTCTCTGGTTATATGCCTTGAGCATTGTGTTCAAGGACACTTGATTCCTTTCGGGCATCGTATTGAAGATTTCTTTCGTCTGTGGAAGATCCGAGCAAGATCCCAGCATTTCAGTCGATGAGATGAGGTTCCTCTCAGGCATTGATGCAAAGATGCTTGCAACCAGACGCAGACATTTAGTTAACATCTAGACGATCCCAGTTTAGGTGGGAACCCGCCTCCACTCTGGTGTCCTCGATTTTCACCACTGCTAGGAGCCTTATAGTGCGCAAACCATCACTCTCAAACAATGGCCCATAATCCTGCTCACTCAAAAGGATTCCATCTCTCGCCTGGAATGCTCACATTTTTAAAAATAATTGGAAAGCTTTGTGGTTTACTTATGCAGGAAGAGGGAACGACCACTCATCGCAAGAATATTGCACATTATTCAAACCATAGCCCTTCGGAGTTACGGCTGGCAGCTCGCTCCCTCCTAAACGCTTGTGGTCACTATTTTGTGGATTTGCTGTCAATGAATTTTTATTTATTTTCTTGCAAATCAGTTGAGAAAATCGTACACTTCGTAACGAAGGTAGCATTGACCAGTTGTGGAACATGAAGCAGCTCCCAAAGCAAGAGGAGCAATCATTTGGATATCACGTCTTAAGGTATCAAGGCATGGGGAGCACCGAGGATATACAGGCGACTGAGAGCAGGAAGAAAAGCCACGAATTTCTCCAATCCTCGCGGTATGATTCCTTTCAGAATCTGTCACTATAGCATCAAAAGTTTGTGTTAGTTGTGCATCAAACACGCTGCCTGATCGAGCCTTTTCCTTGTTGTATCTTACTGCTCCTATTAATTCCGGATCTGGACAAACGGGAATTTGTGTAAGTGCCGTGGAAAGAAATAATAAGACCAGAAACACTATGATCGCACTATACATAGCTGAGAAGTTTTGCTTGCTTCTATTTTCTAAAATAATAATAATAATCTACTTGAGAGAAGTGGGGCATGCGACAGTTATTATATGCTGGCCGAGGCTAGGGTTTCTCCGCTCGCTCCCTCAATTCCAGCTGGCTTGGCTCTCATGGGGCTGCATAGATCCTGACACTTGACTGCTTGCAGTGAGATCCCACAGCTGTGAATGCTGCACAGGCATGGGCTAAGGAACGGATACAAACTTCAAGTCTCTCTTGTCTTTCAGTTGTCTTTATTATTGTTATTCTATAGAATATGGAAAGCAAACTATGAGTACAATTCAAGCATTGGAATAAAAATATGCAAAATATCTGGATTATTAATATCAATGCAATCAAGACTTCTTCAGATATGTATACTATGTTTCTCCTCTTATTATTTCTCTCTATGCACAAAGTGTTTGTCTAAACACAGAACTATTAGGAAGATTTAGATACAATAAATTTGAGAGCAGCTAACAAGAACTTTTGATGCAATTGCTAAAAGTGACAAGTTCAAGAAATAATACTGTCAGGATTGGAGAAATTCATGGCCATTCTGCTTGCTCTCAAATACTCTTGCCTTGTAAACTTAAAAAAGAGTATTGAACAATTTCCAACTCTTGTTTATGGCGCTAGTTCATGTTCACCAGAAGATGATTGCTATCTTCGTTGGGAAGTGTATGATTATCTCAAGTGATTTGCCAGAATACAAAGAATATTAGCAGAAAGAAGGGGGCAATCCACCAAGGATCAGACCATTCTCTAGTACAAAAATTCTAGATGAAATGGTTAGTCCAACCTTCCTGTTTGGAGTTCTCTCCAGCGGCAGGCTGTAGAATTCAGTTCATTCGTTGCTTTGGGTTTCGTACACAAACCATGGATCATTCGTGAAATCATCACAAGTTGCCAGCATGCAACAGGCGCCTGCATGCAAGGATTTTAAATAAAGTTGACGATGAAAGAACAACTTTGGGTTTTGGAAGTGTGTCCAGTTTCCTGAGGCAAATCTGTTCCATGTTGCTAGCTCGGTGCTCTTGTTTTCGCAGTTTCCAAGCAATTTAGCCTACCAGTGGCGGACTGCGCGGTCAGCGAGAGAAGAACTGGAGATCCCGGCACTCTAAACTTTAGATCGCAGAGGAGTTCCAGTGCGAGTCATTGGTAGTGGTATCCACAGCGGCAGATGGTAGCCATGAAAAGTTGAGAACTTGGACGTAGTTGACACCACGGGATCACTGGATCACGATTGCGTTCTCCAGCCCGTGTTCATGATTTGCGGGATCTTTTATTTCCCTTCTCGCCATCTGTTTCCTTTTTTTTCTTATCGCCCTGGAGCAGCTTGAGAGAGTCCAGCACCGACGACTTCGACGTGGAGGCTCCACCATTGGGCGCCGGTGATTTTGCAAAAGGATTGCTTGCCTTCCGTTGAGCAGAGATTAGCGCCTGATCGTGCGACACCTTCGCAGGTTGATTGGAAAGAGTTGCTCTGTCTTGTTGATGAGCCTGAGCCTGAGGCGGCTCCCTCGGGATCGCCGGTGATTCTTTCTGGATCACTGGTTTTGGATGCTGCGCTACGGGGAGAACTGATGGTGGTGGTCCGGGCGCTTCTACTCTTTGAACAGGCTCTTTCTCCAAAGCCTCCACTCTTTGAGTACGCTCCCAGATGGAAGAATCTGGTGCACGCACAGGTTCTGAAACGTCGTCTTCCAGACTCTTTTGCATATTTCGTTGCTGCAGAAAAAGGATAAGAAGTGAGAAGGCCATTCTTGAAGACAATTTTCTGGCATACCTCGAGCATGACATTGAGTCGATCTGCGAGAGACGGTAGACGCATGGCATTGACAACTTTGATTGCTCCTTCCAGTGACTTTCGGAGCCGTAGAGAAGCTGCCAGTTCCATTGCTCTCACGAGCTTGTCACCTTTAAGTGACTTGGTGTCAGAGATGAAACTTGACGTAAAGAGAAAATTCTACCTTTGCATGCGGCTGCCACGAGACGTAGAACATATTTGTCGTGCTCTATTTCCTTCTGTAAAACGTTATCATCCTCGTGATCGGCGTCGAGGCCCTCAGCAGCAGCTCGATCTGCTTTTGCTCGTGCCTACACAACCCGCACATCAAATGGACGCACAAACTTCTTAGACAAACAAATGCACCTCAGATAAAAGTAGAGAATGGCGAAGGTAGTCATTTTCGAGATCATCGCCACCAAGATCAGCATTGACAAGTGGCAAGCTGTGTTTGAAGAAGCTCAGTATAGGCCTCGGAAAGACCTGCAAAAAGTATTTGAAATCAAAACATCGAAACGGTCAAAGAATTTTTACCAGGGGCTGTGTCTCCGGCAGCTTACATATTACTGCAAAAGTTTGTGTCTCATCGAATCCAACCATCCAAAAAACTTCGCTTGAGTTTTTCCTTTCCTTTTCGGCTCTGAAAATCTTATTAGCCACTTCATTAGATCAACTGTACATTACCGAAAGATAGGAACCCAGCAACCACCGAACTCATGAAAATGCCGTCGGAGGACACCCTGCTTAAAGCTTTTAAAGACAACAAGACGAAAAAAAACGTCGTCGATTACCTGAGAATCATAAAACCCAAGAGAGCCACCTTCACTAAAACCAATCCAGGCTAATCTTGATCCAGGACTAAGTGGAAGACGGCCATCCATGATTTTCCTCCGTCGTTGCAAATCCAGAACCACGAACTCCATTGCCTACACAAACAGAAACTTGCATGACCTTTACAGCGAAGAGGAAAAATAATAAGCTCACCTGATCATCCGTGGATAATGGATTCGAAGAGTGAGTGACAACTACGAGTTGATGCTGGTATCCGTTCATTGAAACTACCGGCCCCGACAGCGAAAGGATAAAGCTCTGCAGAACATTGCAAGTTATAAGTGGTATTAAAAACCCAAGAAATATACCTGCACACCGCCTTCCGAATAAATACGAAGGAAGTGAGAGCTTGTTGCTGCCGCAGCCCAGCCATTCCCAACAGCAACAGCCTTAACCTCCTCATTTGCAGGAAATCTCATCGACCACTGCAGCATAAAATTAAGAAAACTGTTGTGCCAACCGTGAATACTACCTCGCTGTTGCTCGCCCAACTATTGAAAGGCCTGTATGTCAGAGTGCTCGGACACTTATCGCCATTTTGCGGACTCGCAAGAACGCAAGCTTTCTCTCCCAAAGAAGCCATTGTGTAGCCAAAATAATCCGCCATAGCGGGAATGCGAACTCCTTTAGTAATATCATGAAACTCGACCTGTAAGCAGCAAAAGAACGTGAGTATCTTCGAATCGAGTAGCTAGCTTAAGTTACCTCCACATGACAAGAACCGTCTTTATCGCAGCTGCTTATGCTACCAATGAGATTGTAAGCAAGAAACCATCTTTTCCCTTCAACCTTGTCCGTGGATCCCGGGTGAAATGCTCCTTGCATTGCCGGAACTTTAAGCGTGAAGGAGGCTCTCGCAGTCTCTACCTGTGGCCTCTTTGCCGGCTTTTTATCGTAGACATCATCCAAAGACGCAGAGTTTCCACCGCGACGTCTCTTCGAGCTAACGAACTCCTCCTCTTCCTCTTCTTCACCGTTGCTCTCGTCATTATCCTCGTTACCACCAGCAGTGTCTTGGCTTCCCAAGTCTATGGACTGTCCATGGCCTTCCGACCCCTCATCGTCACTAAACTTGTGGAGCTGCTCGAAGTTTGTCGCCGACACAAGGCTGGACTTAACACAGATCGTCGGGGAAACCATGTGTGGAGGCACTGCCGACTCCCACACTGAAAACTTCCCCTCCATGTTGATCGCCGCTAAGGCATTCTCGACTGGCTTCCAAGCGATGGAGCAAAGTGGCGTCTCAAACAGCATCCCGTCGATGTCTTGCTGCTTCTCTACGTCCCAAAGCACCACCTGAAGATCACTCCCGGCAGTAGCAAGGTACTTCCCATTGAGCGACCAGGCCAAAGCGCTAACCGGGCTCGTATGACCACCCTTGAAGCTACATATCTCTTCCGCCGTGTCCCTGTCCAAGAGAAGAACATCGCTCTTGCGACCCGGAAGCGCGAGGAGATTTCCATCAGGGCTCCATGCAACGCAGTTGCTACTCTCGGAGAACTCGACGTCGATCCTTGGAGCAATCTGTGTGAGAGTGTGCAAGCTCTTTCCGGAAGAGATGAGCCAGAAGATCACAGTCCCGTCGCTGTCGGCCGAGGCTAGATACTCGTTCTTGGGATCAAACGCCACCCACGTAACTGGAGAACCATGACCCCTCAAGATCCGAGCTATGGAATTGTCCGCCATGGCTATAAGCTTGATCCCATCATCGTCTCCAGCAGCGGCTAGAAGACCGCCAGTAGCACTGAATCCCAGGCACCGAATCGGCAGAGTAAATCTCGTCACTGTGCTTTGAAACTTCCCATCTAGAACAAAAGAAATCATCCATCACTCACAAATAAAAGTTACTTAAAAAACACCGACTAACCTGGATAGCTGAAGAGCTTGACCGAGTGATCGACCGATCCAGACGCCAAGACCGTCCCATTCGGCGAGAGCGCTGCACAAGTGACCGCCGCGTTGTGTGCCTTGATAGTGGCGATCACGGCCGAGGGCACCGATGGATCCCAGGTGTGGATCAAAACCTTGCCATCGACACCAGCAGTGACGAGATTCTTGCCTGTCTTGTCCCAAGCGATGATCGATCGACCCTTGGCGTGCGCGTCCCGCTGCTGGAGCCTGGATTTTGCCCCCATCCCGGATGAGAAATGCCCTAAACCCTTGGCGCGAAATGGCGGGAAAGTTCAAATATTTAGGGCTCTAGATCTATAATCTTGGAAGAAGGAAGAGCTTTGATGGGAGACCCAAGCGCTCGCCAAGAGCATACATGTTGGAGAGGAGGATGTAAGGCCCAGCTTTTAACATCGCCATGGAGAATCCAAGCACTTCCTGCGCTGCGCGAGATCCCACTCCAATTTCTCTGTGGCTCCGGCAAGCCCCGAGCAGGCAAAGCCAGTCCTGGGCCTCTGGAACAAAGGGCATGGTAGTCAAGAGCTCCTCGGCATCGATTAGATACCCAGCTCGGCTGAGAAGATCGATCAAGCAGCAGTAGTGTTGCTTGGTGGCTGGGATTTCGTGATCCAGCGCTGCTGATCGAAAGTACCTCCTCCCGGAAGCCAGATCGCCCGCGTGAGTACACCCCAGCAGCACGCAATTGAGAGTCACCTCATTCATGCCATAATTCTCTTCCAGCTTCATCCTTGCGAAGATATCCGCCGCTTGGGATCCTCGCCGATTGATCGAGTTCATCGCTAGAACTGTGTTCCAAGCGGCAATGCCCCTCTCGGGCATTGTCTCGAGCAAACACTCGGCTCTCTCGAATTGCCCTCTCGCGGCAACTGCGGCCAGGAGCGCTGACCACGACGCAGCGTCTGTGACCGGCATTGACGAGAAGGTCCAGTCGACGAGATCAAACTCTCTGTTGTGGAGATACGCGGCAAGCATTGCGTTCCACGAGATGAGAGTCCACCCCGGCATCGAGTCAAACAGAATCTCCGACTCGCGGACATGCCCATGCCGGGCATATGCCGACACCAGGGTGGTCAACAGGACAACGTCATAATGAGGGGTTCGGTCAAACACGGTCAGGGCCTCGTTGAGCTTGCCGTGGTCGGAATATGCCATCAACATGATGCTCCACGTTACCTCGTCTGTGTCGGGGATCGTACAGAGGAGATTCTCGGCATCTTCCAGATTCCCTCTTTGGGCATATGCCTCGAGCATCGTGTTCCAGGACACTTGATTCCTCTCGGGCATCGCATCAAAAATTTCTTTCGCCTGTGGAAGATCCGAGCAAGATCCCAGCATCACAGTCCAGGAAATGAGGTTCCTCTCGGGCATTGACGCAAAGATGCTTGCAACCAGACGATCTTCTCGACGATCTGCCATTGCTGATAAGAGAGAATTCCATGATACGAGATTCCACTCTGGCATCAAGAGCTCGAAGATTTCCATGGCAGCATCCACAAGCCGCAAAGATCCATACACTGAAAGGAGCGAGTTCCAGGAGAAGCAATCGTGCGCAGGCATTCGATCGAACAGCGCCTTTGCGCGCTCCAGAGTGTCCATTGCAGCCAGCATCGCGTTCCAGGAGATGATATTCCTCTCGCGGGAGAGCATTTCCCCGTGGAAAAGGGCGTAAGCGTCTGCCAGATGCCCGTTTCGGGCAAATGCATCGAGCATGGCATTGAAGCTGACTAGATCATGCTGGGGCATCCGATCAAAGAAATCCTTTGCAAGTTCTAGATTCCCGGCTTGAGCACTCGCCGCCACGATTGTGTTCCAGGAAACAAGATCCTTTTCGGGCATGGAGTCAAACGTTTTTTTGGCGGCCGCAAGATTCCCATTCTGGGCATATGCTGCCAGTATCGAATTCCAAGACACGACATTCTTATCGGGCATTGCCGCGAACAAATCTGCCGCGTGATCTACCTTGCCGGACTTGGAGAATGCCGCTATAAGTGTGTTTGAGGAGACATGATCTTTGTCGGGCATGTTGTCAAAGAGCACTTTTGCGGCGTCCAGATCCCCATTCCGGGTATATGCGCCGAGCATAAGATTCCAGGAAAAAACATCCTTGTGGGCGATGCTATCAAAGACGATCCGTGCCGACTGCACGGCACCACACTTGCCGTACATCTGGATGAGCAAGTTAGAGACAAAGGTGGAATTTTGGGTGCCATTGCTTTCAAGAATGTAGCTGTGGACGCGCTGGGCGTGAGAGAGGGATTTGCAGGATCGAATGAGATCAATAGACTCTCGAACAGATGCCAGCTTCGCATATTCAGGGAGCTTTAAAGAAGAAAATAAAAACAAAAGTGTTCTAAAAGTATATTCGAATTTGTGCGCTTTGAAAAAAAGTGTTACACTCCCGGTGGGACTCGAACCCACAATCCCTTGATTAGAAGTCAAATGCCTTATCCATTAGGCCACGGGAGCCCATCTTATAAAATTACCCGTTTTAGACCTTAAGTACAGTTCTTGTAAGGATCTTTTCTCTTTTTTTTCTTTCACAGATAAAGGCGAGAGATATATGTGGTTTACACGAGAGCGCTTCTTTTTAAACTTCTTGGACCTCGTCCAGCGCGTAGTTGTTTGTGGAGTTTCCAGCGTAATTCACCTTCTCGAATCGAACAACAACGGGGTAGAGCACGCCGGGGGTCTGGCGATTGCAAGGAACCCATCAGGAAAATCCAGGCAATCGATCGAGTCGATCGAAAGAGAAACGAAAAGTAGTAGAAATGCTTACCTGATCCACTGTCACGACCTTGCCCGTGGTCTGGAACCAATACGACTCTGGCCGCAAGATCTTCACCTGCATCCATCCAAGGATTTAGCAATGTGCGCGATGAGAAGATGGAAGAAGAACAAGACCCAAGATCAAATCGAGCGAGAATTGGAAGAAGGATCCACTTACAATTGATCCACGCTTAGGCCCAACCGGCTCTGGCTTCTTCTCGGTGGCTGGTGGAGCGGCGGCGGTCTCGCAAGCTCTCACCACCAATCCGGCGGAGGAGGGGACTCTCCGATTCCACGACGCGGCTGGAGAGACCCGGCATTGGCCGGCAAAGAATTTGGACGACGATGCGCTCGTCGTTGCTGTTCCAGACACTAATCCCACACACCCGGAAGCCGCCGCCGACGCCATTCCTTCCTTTCTTTGCTTTGATCTTCTCTCTCGTGTGAGAGAAAGCGCGAGCGTGTGCTGGGAACGTGTGTCTGCGAAGAACACTAGGTCGAAACGAAAGAAGGGGGTTTTGCTCGCTAGCTGAAGACGTGGCACGACATGGTTGGCCCGGGCCTCGTTACCCTATCTGAAGTGGCCTTATCGGTAATGGATTGGTCCACATCACTGCCAACTTGGAGTTGACTAGGATTGACTTTAGCTGAGTAGGACTACTTTCTTTCCCCTTAGACCGGTTTAATAGAATATGCTTTGTCACCTAAAGTGGGCTTAAAAATACCAAACCTAAGTTTATCCATTGCATTGTGTGCTGCAAGACCCTAAAAAATGTATATGGCTTAAGCCATATATTCTTAGTTTCCTTATTTACCTTGATTTTGATTTATTATATTTCACCATTAGCAAGCAGGTTTTAGGGCTCCTTTTAGCCGGTGACTTTTCTTCTAAGGAGATTCGATCTGTTCAGCTCCAGGTTTCCGAACTATATCAAACACTTAATAAGAAATCACGATGATTCGACTCCTCAGATCCTCTCGTGATCACCACAGAATTGCACGATAAAAATCTCTTGGAATATGCGTTGTCATGTTAACTAGTCAACTCTAGTCAAGCACAGCTGTTAAACTTTTGAACTAATTCCCTTGGAGTGGCCGCGAGAGGAGGAGGAATGAGGGCTAAGCCATGGAGCGACGAGCGGGTGCGAACGCTCGTCCTGGTGAATCTCGCCAGTGTCATGGAGCAAGCGGACGAGGCGCTCCTCCCAGGTGTGTACAAAGAGATAGGCGAGAGCCTCCACACGGGCCTAGCGGCACTTGGGTCGCTCACGCTCCTCCGATCGATCACCCAAGCGCTGTGCTTCCCTTTCGCCGCTTACTTCAGCCTCCACTACGATCGCTCCAAAGTGATCGCCATCGGCGCTTTCCTGTGGTCAATTGCCACGTTCTTCGTGGGGATCTCTCAAACCTTCACGCAAGTAAGTCGTAGATCCATCGTACTTAGCTCTAGATCTCGATCGCTTCGCTTAGTGGGTCTTGGATATCTCGCGCAGATCGCAGTGTGGAGAGCTCTGAATGGAGTCGGGCTGGCGCTGGTCGTCCCCGCGATCCAGTCGCTCGTAGCTGATGCTTGCGACGAATCCAAGCGCGGCCAGGCGTTTGGATGGCTGCAGCTCACGGGCAGCGTGGGGACGATACTTGGTGGGTTCTTGTCGATCATCTTGGCGGGGACGAGCTTCCTCGGGATCTCGGGATGGAGGCTCTCGTTCTTGCTGGTGACGGCCATCAGCGTGGTTCTCGGGATCTTGCTCTTGATCTTCGCGGTGGATCCTGCCGCCAAAGCGTAAGCTCGTGACTTTGTCGGTCGCTAAAGTTTTGGAGATCTTTGTTGTCCAGGAAGAGGGAGCGGGGATTTGCCGGAGTGTGGAGTGGCCTCAAAGAAGCGCTTCAAGAAGGAAAGATGGTGATCAACGTAAAAACTTTCCAGTTCTTGGTAGCGCAGGGTGTTGTTGGCACCTTCCCTTGGGCATCGCTAGCGTTTGCTCCACTTTGGCTGGAGCTCAAAGGATTCAGCCACACGCACACAGCGTTTCTTCTCGGCCTGTTCACGGCTTGCGGATCTCTGGGAGGCCTCTTCGCTGGAACTTTGGGAGACACCATCTCTAAACATCTCCCGGACTCTGGGAGAATCATCCTCGCTCAGTTTAGCTCCGGCTCTGGAGTGCCACTTACGGCGATTCTACTCCTCGGCTTGCCACCGAGATCTAATTCGCTGCTGCTCCACGCTCTCATCTTCGCCGTGCTAGGATTTTGCACGTCGTGGAATGCTCCAGCCACCAACAAGTAAGTCCCCTGCTCTTGAAAGCTCTTCCACAGTTTTGCTCTTCAAAGATCTTCCATCTGCTAACTCTGTCGAGGATCAAACAGTCCAATCTTTGCGGAGATCGTCCCCGAGAAGTCCCGGACAACGATCTACGCATTGGATCGGTCCTTCGAGTCGGTTCTCGCTTCGTTTGCTCCTCCCATCGTGGGCTTGCTCGCGGAGCACTTGTATGGATACGTGCCGCCGCCACCTACGTCCAAGAATCCAGTGGAGGCTAACAGTGGCGATGCCGTGTCTCTGGGAAAGGCCCTCTACACTGCCTATGCCATACCCATGGCGACTTGTTGCTTGACATACACCTTCCTCTACTGGTCGTATCCCAAGGACCGGGACAGGGTGGTGAATTCGTTCCAAGCTCAAACCGAGATGAGCACTGGCTTGAGCAAGGTGACGTACGAGAAGTCGAGCAATGGCTATTTTGTAAACGAGGAGCTGCAAGAGGACAAGGAAGAGCATGAGCCAGAAGCAGAAAATGAGCTTACCAGCATTATCGGTTCTTAACATATGGTTACAAAAACTTGGGAAGATTGTTGAGCAGATTCTTGTTCGATCGCCAAAGTTTTGCAAATTTTAGATGAAAGCTGATCAACTATGAATGTAAAGAGTGGAACTTATCTGATCAAGCTTGCTAGATGAGAAGCATAAACTCCTAGCAGTAGAATGCCAGACGTTACTAGCACCTGCTTTACCCCAGCTGAGACGTCTTGGTGCTGCGCAAGTCCATCCACGCGTGCTACCTTTCTGTTGATTTGATCTTGCGTCTGTGAGAATGTAGAGGTACCAAATTCACTCACCCGAAATCGGCAATGAGAATACTGATGTTGTCTTGGCCATTTTGGGCCTGTAAAGTGGATGAGATTTTAAGAAAGTAAGATGGATAGAAGTTACCAGAGCAGCGGCCGCAAGGCTCTCACAAGCGCGCTGGGAGATACGAAAAGCTAGTCGTTATGGAGAGATGGAAATGGAAACATTATTACCTGGATATCTCCGTGCTCTTTCAGTTGCTCTCTCACAAATGCTACAGCGTCCTTACTGGGAAAACCATAAAAGTTGCTTGTGAGTCCTGCATGAGCTCTGGAATTCACCTTTTGATGGAATCCCACAAGCCGTCTGAAGCAAGAATGATGAACTCGGCGTCCTGACCAAGAGTTGCAGCAGTAACATCCGGTGCCGCAGTCAGCCATTCTCCTGTGAGATCCCGCCTGAAACACTCTAGAGTGAAGTCTAGGAAATACTGGTGAAAACAATGACAAAGGAAAGTTATCACTTACTTCGACACAAACTTCTGCGTCCACAAGTTTTTCTTGAGCCCCTCCTCTAGCATTCTGACAGATCCCTTCGTCAAAAGAATCCTTCACTGGCGAACGATTTCTTACTCTTTTCTACGGGACTTCAAGGATATATCTCCAAATGCACGAGACACAGCCAAATTACCACATACTCGGCCATTGCTTATCTAGTCAAACACAAAACACGAGTGTTCTCAGTACCAAAAACTAAACATCAAGAGAAACATACCCAGCCTCCAGCAGCAATGACTCGCTTACCCTCGGCTAGAGCTGTCTTGCTGCTCCCATATGGCCTGTGATCACTCGTCAACTCCTCGGCTTTTCCTCCTCGAGAAATTACCTGATAATCTAGTGGAGACTAGTTAAATCCTCCAAAAGCATTGCAAGACGATGACAGTACCACTCGTGAGTCGCCGACGTGAGCTACCACCACCTTCTCTTTACCCAGAAACATGACAGTTGCAGTGGAGCCAGATTCTCGATCAGACTCCTCTTGTTGCTCCAGCCTGCTGCAAAGCAAAACCTCGCATTGATCACGAGTGGAGATGAATGGATCGAGCTAGACGAACCACGAGAGCAAGCGTTTGTCAACTTGGACGAAAGCTTGCGAGAGTGCCGCTTCCAAATCGATCGAGTTATCAGATTGTAGAAGAGCTCCTCCTTGCAATGCATTCACGCATTCACTGAATAGCTCTTTCCTGAAGAACCATCGCTAGAAAGATCAAAATCGAATTGTAGAGTGCTTACTTGAGATAGTTCACTGATGATATACCGGCATGACCATCATAGACCGCAGCAAACGTAAATTCTGGAATTCTCCCCTCCTCCAGCTCCATGTCGTCCTCCATCTCCGCCCGGGGACCTTGCAACGCAAGCTGTGCCCATCGGATCGAAGACGGGGAAGCTAGAGAAGACTCTGGCGGCAATCCAGACGGATCAAAGACCTCCGCCGCCGACGACGATGACGAGAGCGCCGTGAATCTCTGCTGCTGGACTGGACCTAACCTAGACGATTTCCCGATTGCCGCGGCCTTCTCGCCAAGAACCGGGCAGACCTTGCCAAACAGAGGCGCTGCCACCGCCATCGCCTCGCGCGCGCTGTCCCGGATGGGAATTTCTCACCGAGAGTAGAGAATGCCGCTCATGGGACGCCGATCGGTGGGCGCGATGGAGAGCTCTTCGTGGATCATCAAGCCCACCACACACACAGATAAGGGCTTAAATTTTAAAAAAAGGGCTTTAGCTAATAAAGTTAGGGCTTAAAATATATTCTTAGAATATGCCAGTCATTGCTTATGGTATATTCTTAGAATATTTATGATTTCAAATTTGCGCTGACGTTTTGCCGCTAAGCACCGACAAACTTAACTTCAATCATTAGTTTTTGGAGATAAATTTTGCTAGAAGAAAACTATAGAGAGAGCCAGACAGTAATTGACTCGATCAATCATCGCGTGAAATCGAGCCAACCTTAAGCTATATAGCCCGATGGTCTCTAACTGTTTCCCATGGTTTCCACCCATTAAAAAATATGGTTTCCACCGATTTAATCAAATGATCTCTCGTTGGTCTTTGCTGTCTTGCACCTAGTTTCTTAAGTTTAAGCGAGATCATCAAGAAGCTTATGAAGAACACGAAAACAAATGATAAACAAGTTCCACAGGCATGTGAAGAAGGAATCAAACAAGTTCTCGTGTCTTGCAGTAAAATCATAGCTGCTAAACTATAGCCATGTGAGTGGCTACCCTAGAAAAGCTCTTGTTTTCATCTAGAAGAAGAATTTCCTCGCGTTTTTTTAATGGTGTGGAAGCACGAGCTGCTATAGCCAGCACTTCGATGGCGAGAGAAAAGTTTCCAAAACGAAACGAAACCGGAAAAACCGATGCGATGGATCAAAGCGGGGCAAGCAAGCGCGGGGACACGAAGAAAAGTTCGAAGAGATGTTAGAAAAATCGATCGATCGTGCCAAAAAGACCGGCTTGATTCGATCCGAGAGAGCTTTATCATCATCTAATCTAATCGCGGCGAGCGAGCAAGCAAACAAAAGACAAGAAAAAGAGGAACTTTTCATGTATAGTAGTAGTAGCAGAGTTAGAGCAGTATCGCTTCTATACAAAAGGAAAAGAGGGGATTCTTTCGAGAGGTAAATCGTTTCTCGCCGGAATGCTGCTGGTATATTGTTCTTGGCTCCAATCTCGTGGTGGGCTTCTGCTGGATCAAACGCCCAGATCGAGTTTTGATCGACTGGAGAAGCTTTAACCGGAAGAACACCGAGGGAAGGGAGAAACATACTAAAAGACTGAAAATCGTCCAACCAATAAATAGCTGACGAGATCGAAAAAGGAGCTCCCGCGTCGAGAGAATGTCTGTTCTAGGATGATCTGACCTCGGGAATGCTCTCCAATGCGGGCTTCCACGACGAGAAGCTCGATTTCCTGGAGCTGGAGGCGGAGAGCTTGTGCTGCTGCTGCTCTGGAATGTTGATCCCCTTCTCCTTGAGCAGCGACGTGATGAGGCTCTCGAGGAAGTCGTCCTTTTTGTAGCTCGCATTGATCATACTGGCCATTTGGTTCGTGGAGATGATGAGCTTCACTCGCATCACGCCCTCCTGGGAGCTGGGCAGGATCTCCATGGCGGGCTTCATCTCCACAGGAACAACAAGAGATCGAGATGAAGAAGAAGAAGAAGAAGAAGAAGAAGTAGCCATAGCAGAAGAAGAAGAAGAAGAAGAAGATGGAGAAGAGAACGCAGCTTTAGATTGCTGGAGCTTCTTCTTCCTCAAGAGATTGAGCCTCTTGGAGGCCAGCGAGCCTCCCATTATCTCGTCCTCGTCCTCCTCTTCTTGGTGGTGGTGGATCTCGCTACTCCGCAAGCACGCATTCCCCATAGCTATAGCCTAGCACTGGATTGGCGAGGCGATTAAATCCTCACTCCAAGGAAATGGGATCGATTTCGGAGCGATGGAAAGCGCTTGGAGCAAAGCCAAAGTGAATGAGCGATCGAAAACAAACAAAATGGCAGCGACAGGGAGGGGAAAAAAAAGCGCTGCGCTTCTTATTACTGCCTCTGTCCACTGCTCACACTGCTCACACTCACGCAGGGCTATCAAGAAAGAACCTTAGTTAAAGCTAAAAGGGGTTTTGGCTTATCACGATAAACCATGCTCCTCCGTAAGTCGTACGTCCCTTGTAGCTTTCCACGCGGTCAACAGTCTCCACATAGTAACCCGTGTCTGGTCAAACCCTGGCTTGGTCAAACCGGGGCGACGTAAGCCTTGACTGGTGCGCTGGATGGTAAGCTTTTGGTTGTTGTTAAGTTTCTATACTTTGGATTTACGTTCCATCGAGGACTGCTCTCTTGTTCTTTCCCTTTCTTGACTTCTACATTGGTTTTTAAAGCGCAAACATAGCTTTGAATCTCTTGTAAGCCTGGCGACGCAACGGCGGTCTCCCAGGTTCACGGAGGCGAGAACTTCCCGTTCTTGACACGCTCATGGACGAGATCTTCCAAATTCTTACCGTGTGTTGATTGGCATCCATAATTTTCATTCCAGATCCCACGTACAGTGTAGTGCTGCCGTGACCGGTGACTGCATCGATCACGCAACTTTGTTCTCTCTCCGGCCCCAAAATCAATCAACATTGCGGCTACCATCCTCTCGCAGAAAAATAAATGGTCATCGTTTGTTGGCGACTCCGTACCGTACAAACACCAATAAACTACAAGGCAGGCGACAGACATGAAACTCCCAAGATCAAAGTCCGTACTCGCACAGATCAAGTGAAAAGGAGCGAAGTATATAAGATTGGCACTGCACAAGGCGGTGTAGTGGTGGTCCATCTCTTTTGGACTCTTGGTTTTACTCTTTCCATGTTGATCATGATCGCGGAGTTTGTTCTCGAGGCATGGGACGGTGCCACTGAGAGGGAAAGATTTTCCCGGGGCGGTGGCCACCCAGATAGAAATTTCTAGGATTGTCCAGGCTACGCTCTCGAGAGAGCGATCAATGCTACGTATGGCTCCTCTCTTTCGAAAAAACAAAAGATACAAACAAAGTACGAGAGATCCATCTACGCGACCATGGGGTGGGATTACGCGCTAATCCACTGCGCTACGCGGCCTTTCCGTTAATCTTTTCATTTAACACTAATCTTGACAATCAGCTTTAGATCTTTGTCGTGAGAGTTGTTTTGCCGCTAGGATTGTCTACATTTGCGACAGATCGATCGACAAAACAAAAGATACAAACCAAGCACGAGAGATGCATGTGCACGACCACGGTGGGATTCGAACCCACGGCCTTTGGATCCGAAGTCCAACGCGCTAATCCACTGCGCTACGCGGCCTTAGTGTTAATCATTTTGTTTCACACTAATCTCGGGACTAAGTAAGTCTATATTATGAGCTTTGGTGATGTCTGAGGGAAGAATGTAGGTCATTGCTTGTTTTGCCGCTCCTACAACGCTATACTCCCACTTAACGGGATTAACGCCTTTCTGTCACACAAATCTCTGGACTAACTAAGTCTATACAACGACTATTGGCTTTAGATCTTTGTGGTGATGTTTGAGAGAAGAATGTAGCTAGCAGGCGATTCCGGCGAGAGGTCCATCGCTTGCTTTGCCGCTCCTCGCCCAAAACCAACAGCGCTATCGCTCCTGCTTAACAGGCAAATCCAATCCAGCGCCTCTGGTGTGTACGGCATGGTCGCGACCAGCTCCTCGGCCGCGGCCAAGTGGCCCGACCGGCCCAAAAGGTCAACCACGCAGCCGTACTGCTCCTTGCTCGGGGTCAACCCCCAGTCAGCGTCCATTGACCGGAGCCAGCATATTCCCGTGCGCAAGTCCCCGGCGTGGGAGCACGCCGGGAGGAGGGACGTGAATGTGGCATCGTCGGGCGCGTGGCCGTGGATTTGCATCGCCCAGGAGAGCGCGAGCGCGGATCCTGGCCGCCCGATGCGGGCATGGGAGGTGATCAGGGCCGTCCACGCGATGAGGTCCTGGGCGGGCATTTGCTTGAATAGGGAGTGGGCGAGTTCCAAATGCCCGGTCTGGGCAAATAGAAGGAGGAGCGTTGTCCAAGAGATTGGATCTCTATCAGGCATTTGATGGAAGAGAAGTAGCGCTTCATGGATCTGGAAATCCTGGGCGAGCGTGGCAAGCATTGCGTTGTAGGAAGCGAGATCGCGCGATGGCATGGAGTCGAAGATCCGCCGCGCGTCGGCTGGATGCCCGTTCTGAGCATAGGCGCTGAGCATCGCGATCGCGGCGATGGAGTCGCAATGAGCCATGGAATCGAAGAGGAGCTTGGCCTCCTCGAGGCGGGCCTCGCGCGAGTAGAGGCACAGGAGCGTTGTCCACGAGACGAGATTGCGCTGGGGCATAGAATCGAAGAGCGATTTCGCGCGAAGAAGTTCGCGCGATTGCGAGTAGGCCGTGAGCATCGCGTTGCATGAGACGAGATCGCGCTCGGGCATTCGATCCAGGAAGAGCTCGTGGGCTTCCATCCATCGCCGGGACTGGATGAGCGCCGTGAGTATCGTGTTCCAGGACGTGATGATCTTCTCCGGGAGGCGATCAAAGAAGGCCCTGGCGTCGGCGATCCGCCCCGCGCGCGCCAGCGCCGCCATGATCGCGTTCCACGACACGGCGTTCCACTGCGGCATCGCGGCGAAGATCGCCTCGCAGCGCTCGATGCTGGATCCGGCGGTGGCATGGGCGACGAGGAGGATGTTCCAGGAGACGAGATCCTTCTCGCGCATTGCCGCGAAGAGATTACCGGCGCGGGAGATTGATCCCGCCCGCGCCAGCGCCGACAGGATCGCGTTCCAGGAGATCAAGTTCTTGGCCGGCATCGCGGCGAAGATCTCGTGGGCTTCGTCCAGGTGGTCGTGCTGGACGAGCGCGCCCAGGATCGCGTTCCACGACACGAGATTCCTCTCGGGCATTGTGTCGAAGAGATCCTTTGCATCAACGAGGCGGCTGAGTTGAGCGTACGCGGAGATCATCGTGTTCCAGGAGACGAGATCGCGCAGCGGCAGCGTGGAGAACATCGCCGCCGCTTCTAGCAGATGCCCGTTCTGGGCAAGTGCTGAAAGAATCGTGTTCCTGGAGAAGAAATCTTGTTCCGGCATTCTTTCGAAGATTTTCTTGGCTTGAACCAGAAGCCCTCGTCGCGAGTAGTTCGTTAAAAGCAAGTTCCAAGACGCGAGACTGTGATCTGGCATTCGATCAAAAAGCTCTTGAAAGGTATCAAAATGCCCAAGTGTGGCATATGCTGATAACATTGTGTTATAGGAGATTATATCCCTTTCCTCCATCCTGGAGAACAATGCGCTTGCTTCTGCCGCTTGGCTTGCTTTCGCCAGTGCTGCCAACATTGTGTTCCACGAGACTAGATTGTAACAAGGCATCGCGTTAAACACTCTTTTTGCCTGTTCCAGATGCCCGTTCTTGGCATATGCATCCAGCATCAGATTCCACGAGAAGGAATCTTTGGGATGGATAGAGTCGAACACGTGGCGCGCATCTGCCACGCTGCCGCAACGCCCGTACATCTGGACGACCAGATTGAGGAGATAGACGGTCCGAGACTCGAGAGGGAGAGCCCCGAGAACGCTGGCGTGGGCCGCCTTGGCCTGTGGTAGCGTTTTGGAAGAATTCACAATATGAACAAGCTCCTCGAGACAATACATTGCCAACTCAGTTGGTTTGAGGTGAAATAATACATTGCCATTTCTTTTGGTAGAACATTGGAATGTTATGAGAACTTAGAATATATCAATACAATCAAACCATACAATAACTCCTCCTTCAAGAAGACGATGGCGCAATGCCAACCTCTTCCTCTTCGTCAAAACTTCCTTCATCATCCTCAGATAGAACTGGAGCTCCGGGCGATGGAGCTGGCGTGATCGACGACCTCCGCGGCCACGGCGCATCGGGAAGAAACTCGAAGTTCTTGCAGCTGGTCCCGGAGAGGCTGAGGTGCTCGCTGACGCCCACCACGCGCTTCTCCAGATCAAACTCCACCAGCGTCTCCTCCTGCTGGAGCGTTCCAATCACGGAGACTCGCCCCAGCGCGCCGGCTCCCACGATTCCCAGGCACACAACGTCCGTCCGCCGCCACCTCACGATGTAGTTCCTGGGCTGGACCGTGAGCGTTGCGTTCTCGAAGATGAACTGGATCTTGGGCGCCCCGGACACCGCAGCTCTGGGAGGAATCCTATAGCAGAGATTGAGCTCCGGGAATGGCGATGGCACGGGAGTGATCGAAGCGTTAGACGCCGCCGCCACCGCCATGAAATGCCTTCGAACAACCTGGTAGAAAGAAGAAGCAGCGAGATCCAACGATAGAATGAAGATCTTCGCTTACCTGGTAAGCTGGATCAACCAAGCTCGTGTACCTCAGCTTGGTTCCAATCACCACCCCATTGTCAAACAGTGAGGAATCGATGGGCAGGGGCTTGACATCTGGCCCGGATCCAACGGCGATCCCGCGAAGTGCGAGCCGGTAGCCCATCCCGCGCTGCCACGCGGCGGGAGGAGTCAGCATTGGGAGGTACTGCATTTTCGGCTTGACGGTGCGCTGGCGGAACACGTAATCAGCCCCGCCCACAAAGAACGCACCACGTGGCTTGCCGAGGCAGTAGGCGAACCGACGTGGCAGGCTCGCGGCTGTCGCGATCTGGGACACCAGCGACGTGGCGCCCGGGGATAGGGAGGCCATGCTCGTCGAGGCGTACGGCACAGATGACGGGGCACTGCACCCCATGACAATGCCGGCGATGGTTCGATTCTGGCTAGCGACGTCCCCGGATGGATAGACGCTCTCCATGGTAAGCTGGCTGAGAACCAAGTCGATGGGCTTCCCTGTGTAGCGGTCGTAAGCCATGCAGCGTTTTCTCACCTTGTCACACGTATAGGACGATCCCTGGCACACTGGATGCGAGCATGGAACGCTTTGGATAGCTCCAGAGTAAGTTGGTGGTAGCGATGGTGGTGTCGAGGACGATGGTGGCTGCCATGGCTGCTTTCCTGGCCTTCCTGGAGGAGACGATGACGATGGTGGCTGCCGTGGCTTTCCTGGCGGGGCCCAAGACCTTCCTGGTGGTGTGGATGGCTTCTCTGGTGGACTCGAGGACGATGGTGGTACCGGTGACGATGGTAGCGACGGTCTTCCTGGTGGAGATGACGATCTCTCCGGTGGTGGCGGTGATGACGGTGGTGTCTTCTTCCAGTTCTCGTTCCCTTTGCTGTCAGTCGTGGTAAAGGTGGCGGCAGTGGTAACGTTCGAGCAAAGTTGCCATGGCATTGCTGTATGGGTGCCCATGGTGTCGATGGTGAAGTTCACGGCCACCGGAGGACTGCCGACCCTGAGCTCCACCACAAAGGACGGCACCGAGGCGCCTTGGATGTTCATCCGGGTGAGAGGAGCTACCAGGCCGTCATTGCTTAGTACCGGTGCTGGTGGCTTCTCTGGCTTCTTTTTGCTGCTTGGTGGCGATCCGGGCTTCGGTCCTGGTTTCTTCTTGTACCATGGTCGCCGGGACCGCTCGTCTTGAAACTCGAGTCCTTGCACAGCGACGGTGAGAATGAGAAGTAGCAGCAGTGCCAGTGCCTGCTTCATCTTTTCTTAAGAAAAAAAATAATGTACCAGCTTCTGCTACCCCAGTGCTGACAACTTTTTTGAGGGCCGTGATGATCCAGCATATATACTCGGCACTGTATCTGTCTGGTAAGCTTGTTGGACCCCGTGAGATTGTCTTCCCACGTGTAAGCTTCACGAGACGGCACCTAACTCGCACCACAACAATAACAAGTCTGTAATCCTCATCCTGAAAGCTGGTTCACAGGACAAACTGGTTAGAATCACAAACGGACAGAAAGTACCGATACGACGACGCCGAGTAGAGCTCGAAACTGTCGGAAGAAACCAGTGAGTTATTAATCCACGGTCTTTTTTTTTTGTCAAGGCTGAAAGTCTCAAAACAAAGTACTGAGAATCTGCTCTTGTCGAGTGGCCCATGGGTACAAACGTCGTTCCCCACTCTGCCAAACGATTTCTGACAAGCAGGCTTTCAGAACGACATAAAAACGAAAAGAAAGCAGCACGGGTGACCCCACGATGTACAAAACTTGGCCGCCTTAGACGCGAGGCCGTTGTGCAGGCTGTTGGCGGCGATTGATCCTGTCGAAATTTCATAGTTAGCATCAAAGAAGGAAAAGAAACTACATCCGGTCCTTACATGCTTAGTGGAACATTTCCAGGCCGAAATCCTACCCTTCCCCTCTGCTGTTGTTGCTGCTGCAGCTCGGCCATGAACGGCGAGCTGGTTTTGAGTGCAGCTTTTACACTGGCTATCCTGGGGTCGTCATCAGGTATCTCACGTCCCTAGATGCAAGTAAATGAGAAAGGTTACGCAACATAAGCACACATTCACCTGAAGTCCATCAAGGTACGCTTGGCTTGCCAGTCTTGTGGGCCTCAAGCTCTTACGCATCATCATGTCCCATATGAGGTTTGCAGTTGTGAAATCCCCCTCCTGCAGCACAATGATATCAACATGACGTTCCGGGCTGAAAGAATAATGTTATCTACCGGTTCCTTCGATGCGAACGCTAGCATATCACTTCCAACTTTAGGATTCAAATAGAAGCCCTTTTCCTCCAGTTGCCGCTGGACAGGGCCAATATCAATATAAACAAAATAACAGAAATGAATTACCAGAAGCTTTTTGGCTGTGGTCATACCCGCTGGAGTATAATTGGTCATCGCTCCCTGAATCATCACCTGCAGGAAGACAGAATAAGCAGCGTAGACGACATGGAACAGACTAACCATGTAGAGGTCCAAATTCACAGGTCGGCCAGAATTGATATGCTTGTTGAAACACTCTAATGCGCTCTCAGTGTCTCCTGCAGCAACGTATCCCCTGCAGAGACAAAATAGTTTGCAATGTATATCCCAGGAAGTTTAAGTAGCACCTTATCAGTTGAGACACGCAAAACGCGTCGGGAAAGAGACGATCCGTCACCATCATCTCGCAAATCTTTTTCAGACCCTAGAAGCTTGAAACAGTGAGATCAATATAGAGTGAAAACGTGTATACCTCTAGATTTTTCAAGTCTGCAGCTGCACGCAATGCCGAATGATATACGAGCATCCGACGATTAAAAGCACCGCGCCTCATCTGACCCTCTCCGGTTATCAAAGAGCAGAACTCGTCTTGCAGATCGGTAGATATCTCGGCTTCACCGGTGGCTGCACGGGCTCTGAGATCTTCGGAGGCCAAAGCCTTCGACTTCTTTACAATCTCGTATATCTGCAAAACTACATTGGTTTAAGCAAATTATGAATTCATTCAAACCTTGTCAAACGTATCAGGCTGAATGGGCTTTCGATTCTTGTAAGCGGCTATCAGCGCACTGTAGCAGTACTCATTGAAAGTGATTCCGTAGGTTGTCATCCTTCGTAAGATCTCGAAGCTGACAAAACAAAGGGAAAAAAGAGAAGAGGTTAGACAAATAAGGATAAAAACAACGAACTACTGACGCAGTCTGTCAAGAACACAAACATGACCGTATGAAACTATCTCTCAACAAGCAGGCTAAAGAATCCCAGAAGGAAGTCCAAGGAAACCTCCGAATTGCATGAATTGGAAGTGTTACGCTTTATCAGTGTCACCCGCTACTCCGCAAGCACTCAAAAGCGCAACGAAGGTCTCCAGCTTTGGTTGTACTCCCGAAGCTTCCATCTCCTCTCCCACCTGAAAAACAAAGTTTAGTAGCAGCCAGGGAACTTTACGAACTCATACCCGAAAAGCGCGGCTAAGTTGATTGCATTTCCCACACGCAGCAATGACGAGACTGTACGTTGCCACCTATAGCAGAAACAAAGAAAGCAATAAGGCCTATCAGTAGGCAAATATCCAGCGAAAGAGCTTCATACGTCTGGAATAATTCCCATAGTTCTCATCTGTTCGAAGAAAAACATTGTATCTTGGAGACGTGAACCTTTCATGCAGCCCGAGAGAAGCAAGTGAAATGTAGCCGGCCCAGGCTGCACACCATCCACCAGCATTTCGTCATAAACGTCCCGGAGTAAGTAATGCCTGAGCTGAAAAGCCCATGTCAAAAGGAGGAAGAAACAAATCGAATCGCTCTCGGATCTTTTTCTTTTCCTTTCTTTGTTGCTACTCCACCTAAAACTTAGACTCACCTCCTCTTGAAGTTGAGGGTTTGCAGTGCCTTATTGTACGAATCAAGGTCATTCGCGTAGGTATTCACGGCCGCGACCGATGCAGTAGCGTAGCAGCGTCCGGTGGTGCCAGGCCCATCTCTAATGGACGATCCGGAGCAATGGGACAGCCGCTTGGAAGCCGCTCTCCCTGCATTTTCCACAGAAGCGCGCTTGGAATCAAAATCTCCCGGCGCTCTGGAAATCTAGGAGCTGAGATGCGAGCGCTACCTGAGAAGAGCGTTCGCGCCTGCCGGAAGCCGCGAAGGGAGCGCCACGACGCCATGCCTTTCCTCCACTGCGCCCAAAATTTAGGGCTTAAGCTTAGGGCGAAATGAATATTTCATTTTTGGATAATGAGCCCTAATAAATAACTCAAATAGTGTTAGGATTTTGTTAAATTCTCGGATAGGCTATGGCGCTCTTCGTTCCCACGGAGTTCCAAGCGCGCCATACGCGTCTATACAGTGCGCGCGCTAGGTAATATCGACCATTCTCTTGCTCATAGCTGTGCATTACTTGCAATGCAGGAAAGATTTCCCTGGAAAATGCGTCCGATCGAGGCAAGGCAATCGTTTTGGTGTTTTCTTTTCACTCCATTCCAGAGCAGAGGGTTTCAAGGCTGCACGGCGAGAATGGAGCTCTCTCGCGATCAAGGTCTTTCATTTTCTTCTCTAATTTCTAGCTATGCGAGCTCACTCTTTTCTTCCTTTCTTTTTTTCTTTTCTGACTAGAGAAGCTATCAAAGTGTGATGAACTTAACACTGCCTCTACTGCTGCTTTCATCCTCTCCCGGCGCGCTGGCGGCACCAAATCCAACTCAATCCTCTCAATCGGCGCAGGAAGTGATTGCTAGCACAATGGCCGCTGCCACTGTTCCGGAGCAAAGCAGCCAAGCTTCTCCTCAATGTGAGAACCTTTGTGAGGAGAGCTATGGCTTCCTTCCTTGCTCGTCTAACATCGGCGGGAACCTCTTCCTGATGGCCACTTTTGGTTGCTTACTTCTCGTAGCTGCGAGATTTATCTCCAAAGGCAGTGAAGTCCTTCTCGAGGTAAACAAAGCCCGAAAACCATAGCTAGCTTTTACAGATTCTCGGTTTCTACAGGTGATGAATCCAGGTCTGATTGGTGGTCTTCTTCTACCGATTCTGGGAGCTCTTCCGGATACATTGTTGATTCTAGCATCTGGTACAGGGGGAAGCATTCAAGAGATAAACTCTGAGCTCCATAGCTTTTTCGAGTAAGCTCTAACTTGGTGAAGCAGGTCTTTTTTTCAGGCGCAGGAGGAGGTGATGGTTGGAGTAGGCGTCCTAGCAGGCTCCACGACGCTTCTCCTCACGCTTGCATGGGCTGGATCGCTTCTGGCTGGGCGCTGTGATTTGAGTTCTTCCGATGGAACAGCGAAAGATGAAGTGCTAACGAAAAAGTACGATCTTTTCCATACTGGTGTTACGGTTGATACGCAAACAAGGTACGTAACTTGGTCACGTAAGATCTCTCCGGATTGACCGTGTTTCTAAACTTTGAAAGATGGGGTGCCTGGATTATGATCGCGTCTGCGCTTCCTCTCATTTGTGCTCAAGTTCCTCTACTGGATGGTCATCCCTCTGAAGGCCCAGAAGCTGCCTTCATTGGTTCTGCAATCTCATGCGTTGGACTTTTTGTTTATTGCGCATACCAGGCAAGCTGAAGCACACTCCGTTTACGCTCTTGACGTTGAATTGCTTTTGTGGCTGAAGGTGGCGTTTCCGTGGTTGCAACAAAAAAGGATTGATGAGGCACGCCTTAGATTCCTCAAAACTCGCGTTTTACAAAAAGTATCCTCGTACTCGTCCAGAGAGAGCAAGGTACTAATGGATATCACTTGGATATCACTATGTATATTTATATTTCATTTTTTATTAGGAAAAGAAGCTTGCGCCATTCGGGAGAGAAAAGCTGGAAAACATTTTCATTTGCTTCGACAAGAATGCCGACGGGAAAATCGAAAAAGATGAACTGGAGGCGTTCATGGTCGGCCTTGGGATCGAAACAAACGGGTACATGAGTCGCCTTCTTTTGTCGCTCATTGTTTTGAGCACTTATTGTCAGGGACACCATGTCTCGCGATTTGATCGACAACTGGCTGAAGGAGTTCGATGTTGACGCAAACAAATCCATTGCTCAACATGAGTTCGTCGAGGGACTGAACAAGTGGGCTGTGCAAGTCGCAAAAGTGAAGCATTTACGAGCGTTACACCAACTGGAAACCTCGGACGAGCCGAACTTTTGGGCAGCCAAGTCTGAAGAAGCAGAAAAGGTTTGTTCTTCATTGTGGCCTTGTAGGAAACGTTTGATAACATTTCCTTTCTTGACAGGTCTTGCGGCTCCTCGAGCAGGATATTGACGAGGTGGAGGATGATAAAAGCCAACCTGGATCCTCGAAGCTGTACGTTGAAGCCATCCTCTATCTCCTCTCGGGGAGCTTGCTTGCGGCTGCTTTCGCAGATCCTCTTGTCAACAGCATCAATGGATTTGCACAGGCATCACAGATACCTCCTTTCTTTATCGCCTTTGTGTTCACTCCACTTGCGTCTAACGCGAGCGAGCTCGTCTCCAGCATCAGCTTTGCACAAAAGAAGCGGAAGAGAAACATCTCGCTCACATTTTCTCAGATTTATGGTGCGGTGACAATGAACAATACACTGTAAGATCTTTGCCTTGCTTCTTTCGAACTCGCTTAACATCGACTTTGCTTCAGCTGCCTTGGAATTTTCCTTGGCTTGGTGTATACGAGAGGGTTGACGTGGGATTTCTCTAGCGAGGTAGCAAGATTTGATTGCAAAAGCTTTTTCTCTCGCCTTACGCTTGCTCGTTTTCAGGTGACGGCTATACTGATCACCACATTCTTTGTTGGTGCGCTCGGGGGATCAAGAATGACTTTTCCTTCTTGGCTCTCTCTCCCAGTACTCGCGTTATATCCTTTGTCCATAGCTAGTATTGCTTTCCTTGATAATGTGCTAGGCTGGCATTAGCCAAGCCATATCACTGCGACTAGTTCCTGGGACGAGAGTTTACAAAAAAAAAAAAAAACAGAGAGAGAGAGATTTCAAAAAGCCCGTTTTTTTAGGGTGTAAAAATAGTGCAACAATCTTGTTAAAGGTAAGCAAGGAGGGAGGCATATTGGGCAACAATCTTGCTAAAGGTAAGCAAGGGTTCATGGAGCTAGAGCAAAAGGAATTCTCATGATCAAGTTTTAATAAGTTGAAAAGGATAACATTTTGTTTGTGCTTTAAATTACTTTAAAAGACAAAAAATACTTATAATAAATAATCTTTTCTTAAGTATATAAGTCAAGATCAAAGAGACTTTTGGAGCATTGAAGATTGTGTTGAATTTTTTTTCTCTTTTTTAAATAAATTCGCAATATATTACAATGTTATTTCAACATCAGAAAGTTCAAATTATCAATTGACTATAACTTTTTTGCCAAAAACATTTTTACATATATTTTTTATTTTGAAACATGATTCTTGATTAATTGGGATAAAGAGGGGTGACAGAAAACTTATTTTTGCAAAGGAAACAATGAAGTGTGTTAGAGTTCTAGCCATAAAAATATTATAAATTTGAATTTGAAAGTAAAAGTTGTCATTCTTGGAGTTATAAAAATAGCTGGTCAATATTTATTGGATAATTTCTAATTAAGATTTATTCATTTTGTATAAAATTACTTTGTGAAGTCTAAGTGTATAGCTATGTATGGCTATGTATGTGGTATATTAATATTAACATAGTGAGATTTTGATAGCTATCGAATTGGTTTCAATACAAACCATTTACTCCTATGTATAAGCTAGGGTTTTTAGGCTAATTGATATGTACATTTTTATATTTCATTTCTATATTCTATGCACTCATATTGGTGAAAATAAGGAGCAATTTTGATTATCCCTAAGGAGTGCTTGGATTTAAAATTTTAGTTTAGATCTAGCTTTTGCATTGTTTAAATCTCCTTTTTTTTATAACTTTTTCAATTTCTTTTCTTTTGCTTTTTTTCTTCTCATTCATCTTTATGGTAAAGTAACAACCTCCTCCTCCTTTGACTCTAGAGTAGCAATTGGTGTAGTTGCTCAATATTATATAGTTGCAATTGAACAATCAAACTTAATTGATAGTGGCATTCACAACATATAATATAACTCCTTTTACTCTTTTTGCTAATCTTTATGTTTGGTTGAAATTTTTTCATAGGAATCCTAGAGATGATATGTACTATTAGTTCGATCACTTTATGGTGATTACCACATATCATTCTTGGGATGATATTTGGCATTTATGTGAGTTTCCTATGTATCTCTAAGGGATGACATTGTAGTGTTATAATGGTTTAAGTGCAGCCACTCATGCAAATTGAACCATTTTTTCAAATGTCTCCAAATGTGTATTTGGACATACTAATGATTATGATGATGCTTTCCAACAATTGCATCATCTTTGTCAAATGCATCTAAGTTAGTGATGCAATTTAGTGTTTGTTTATGAAGACTCTTGTTTTATGTAAAACCAAATATGTCGGAGCAGAAAAGTCAACTGGGCTCAAAGTCCATCTCGGGCACTTTGGTTGCCTAGGGGGCCAAAGTTATTCAATTTCTCTCTTTGATTGTTTGAATTTCTTATTATCTTTATATAGTTTGACTAAAAAAATTTTTTCTCTTGCAGAAAAGGAAAATTGTATTACATAAAAAGGTTGTTGGAGCCAAGAAGACACAAGAAGTTCAATTTGGTACTAACAATGACATCACGATCAACATGTCCATTAGCACATCAACAAAGACACATTTATTTAAAGATCCACCTCCTCCACCACCATCACCTCCACCATCACCACCGCCATCGCCACCACCATCACCACCTCCACCACCGCCATCGCCACTGCCACTACCACCACCACTGCCACTATTGCATTTGCCCCCGCTGCCACCACCACTACCCCCACCTCCACCTTTACTCCTCACTGGCCCACCACTAGCATAAATCCTTGAAGTTGGGCAATCTAGTGGTGTTCACGATAGTGAATCTAAGGAACAGCCTGGAGCTGAAAAGTTGCAAACCTTCCTGACAACATGGTGGACAAGTGCTTCCAAGAGACTGTTAGGGAAATAAGGGAAAAAGCAGTTCACCAAACACTTGAGGTGCTCAAATGGCCAAGCCCTTGTGACTTGATCAAAGAAATCCCCCTTTACCGTTTGTAGCAGACGAACCTTGTCCACACAGCATCTAAGTATGTCAACTGGATATATATAGCTTGTTCAAACAAAATGGCCTTGTGACAAATATTGGTATGTTTCTAGTCTCTTTTTGCAAGCCAGGAACAACAGAGATAATTACCATCACACCCGAGATTGTGAATAGCTAGAATCTTATTTATAGGAGGAAATCCCTGGAATTTGATAACATGCTTATCAGACATCTTAAGACTCGACAACTTGTGGGGACAATATTCCAAATTATTGACAGTAACCACTAATATGGGGCTTGGATGAAGTGTATCAACGATCATTTTTGTGATGATCCCATTTACTATATCAACGTTCTAGTTGGGCATATCTACGTGAGGGGACCTTTGGATGTTAACAGACTTATTTTGGCCTGCCAAAAGATCAATGCATAAGTTTTATAATTTTACCTCTAACTCCACTTTAACTTATTTTGTTGTGTTTAAATGTAGGCTTGGGCATTTCACTGTTCAAAAGCAAAACTTTGTCTATGACATCGAGCAACTTCAATTTTTGGCAGACTTGAGTGAGGATGACATCTGCCAACATTATGATGATGATCTTGCAACACTTGTTCGGCACTCATGCACTCGAAATGACGGTACAACTTGGTTCAACAACCCAATCAGTTTTATGCTCGATGTGTGGTGCAAGGTATGTATTTTATAAAGGCCTCTTTTAATTATTTTGGTTTTTAGCCTTTGGTGAAAGTCAAGCAAAATGCTTACAAACTTGCACATCCGGAGAAGAGTCAGGAAGAGCTCTTAGCTGAGTTCGTACAAATTGAGCATAAAATTCAACATGCAAAGTCTTCAAAGTTGAAGAAACTAGTATGCATTGCAGACAATCGTAGGCTGAAGGAGTGGCTAAAGACTATAGCAGAAATTTCTTCTCATGAATATAAGTTTTTTATCACACTTCATTTTTCTCAATTATGCATATGTTACTTTTGCAATGAATAAAACTCCAGATGACATGATTTACAATATCGCAAAATTGAAGCTTCCATATAAACAATAAATAGAGACTCTAGAGTTTCTCAATATCTGCTTAATGAATAGAGAGAAAAGACTGCTAGAACTATTTGAGAACATGATGAGAAGGGTTGTCTACATCATGCAAATTATAAATGAAGGTGAGAAGTTCTTGGCACCATACATTGGTGACAATCCAGATGGCACATTTATGTCTTTTGACACCTACATCAATACATCATTGGAAGGGATCGAAGAGGGTGGCTACCAAAGAAGTCTACAAGCACAACAACTTATGATTGCTAACATGGTCAATCTTTATTTCATGCGACGTGCAGCTAAGACCTTTTTTAAATATATATTGTTTATAGGTATCTTCAATATAAAGGCATGCCATTTGAGGCATTAGTTTGCACTTGACTTGTTGCAAAGGGTGTAAGGGATGGAAGAATGTACCCAACAATGTTTGTAAGAGTTCCAAAGGCACAGAAGATAGAATGCTTTTGGGAGTTGGAGCTCCTAGGGAAGGAGACTTCTACATTAGATCATGAGGAAGTTGTCAATGCTAGCAATGATGGCAATACAAGTGACAATAGAGACAAGGATGAGGAAGCTCTAGATGAAGTTCGTGTTCCACCACCAAATAACCAAAATTAAGCTCTAGTTCAAGCATCAAACAACCAAGATTCGGATCAGGTTCTACTTGTAAATAATGATGATCAAGTGGTTTATAGAATATCACGTCGATCTCGAGGTAAGCAAAAGTGAATTTTACAAACTGAAGGTGGTAATACATGTTTTTTGCAACAATGACTATTGGTAGTAATTTCATTCCAGCTAGATGAGATGCTTGTGAAGAGTTGAAGGAACTCTCATCGACAACATGCCATATGATAATAGCATATTTTTTATTACTTTTTTCATTCACTTAGTTCTTTTATAGGTCCGTCTTGTGTCCCTAATAACACAACAAGGCATTGTGGGTATCTTCATTGGCTCCTACAATAATTTGTTAATAGCTTTCATGGAAGACAACATCAACATGGATATACGGCGCCAATTCAACCATTGGTGCCAAAAGATACAAAGGCCATTGCTGTCAAGACCCCCAACAAGATCAAGACTGGAAAATGCTAAAGACAAAGAGAAAAAGCTAGTGAAAACAAAGAAGAGGCCTTAGACTGGTGTTGATTCAGATTGTGGAGAAATGGAACAAGGCTAACCTATATATACTATAGGTTGATGAAGCTCCACCACTCTTGGATCGAGGACAGCCTAAATACAGCTGAGGTCGAGGAGGCGCCACATCATCATCAGGAATGTGGCTCGAGACTCAGGAATCGGGAAGTGTCTCGAGAGTCAGGAATAGGGAAGTGTCTCGAGAGTCAGGAATAGAGAAGTGTCTCGAGAGTCAGGAATGTGGTCTGCAGGTCAGGAATTCGGCGAGAGTCAGGAATGTAGCAAGAATTGGGGGATTCCTGACAGCACCCCCTCCTCAAGAACGAGTGGAACGAGGATGTGAACGAGAACGAAGAGGAGGATGAGATGAGCGGCGAGGGATGGGAGATGGAGAAAAAGAATGAGGACTGGGATGAGAAGGATAGCGGCGGTGGAAGTCCTGAACAAGGTCAGGAGAATGAATCAGGTTGTCCGCAGGTTCCCAAGTGCGTTCCTCAGGTCCGTAACCCTTCCAGTCCACCAGATAGTAGAGTGTAGATCGTGAAATCTTGGAATCAAGGATGTCCTGAACCTCGTACTCAGACCCATCCTCGAGCTGCACTGGTGGAGGCGGAGGAATGACCCGATTTGGAATAGGACTGGGAATATAAGGCTCAAGGAGAGAGGAGTGAAAAACGGGGTGAATTTGATATGAGGAGGGAAGTGCAAGGCGATAAGTGACAGGATTAATGATGGCAATGATAGGGAAAGGACCAAGGCGTTTGAAATCGAGTTTTGGACAGGGCCTGGTGGTGGAGATATTTTGCCTGAGGAGCCAGACTTTATCCCCGATATTGTAAGGG